TCTAAGAGCCAATTTATAATTTTTATAAAACATGTCTTATTATTTAAATAAAACACTTTAACGGTTTAAAACGCGATATATTGGTAGGGGAGACTCCCCGTGACCACGGCTGCTGCAAAGCATCCGAAACGTCGGGCCGAAGTTAAAAATCATTTTTTAAATAAGTTTAACTAATATATCGCGTTTTAAACCGTTAAAGTGTTTTAGTCAAATGTGTACTACTCGCGTAAACTATAGACAGTATTATGTCTTATTATGTACTGTCTGTAGTTCACGCGAATAGTACATATTAAAATAAAACACTTTAACGATTTAAAACGCGATATATAATAGTTTAACTTATTTGGAAAGTATTTTAACTACGGCCCGACGTTTCGGATGCTTCGCAGCAGCCGTGGTGTTGTCTTATTACGTTTTTATGATATTTATGAGAGGATGGTTCGCTTGATGCAAGGTAAATTACCACGGCTATTCAGCCTATTTTGAAATTCACAGACTGAAACCTCATCCGCGACCTGGAATAAAATGTTGATATTACTACTTCCGCTTGAATAACTACATCCTCTACAGAAGCAGCTGTGGTCATGGTACACGTTTTAAGACGTAAGTCTTTTATTTTATACGGTTTTATCTTATCTACGCGTAAACTGCATATTCGATTTGCAAACTATCAGTCATTTTAAATTTTTTTACCGCCTGTCTTATTCGCCCATAGGTCGCGCAAACGAAGCCACAGGTAAGATGTAGTAATGTTCGTCTAGAATCGCGAAAACCATTCAAAGCACAGAACAAAGAAACGACGCTTCGTTATTCTTAGTAGCGAAATAAACAAAACATTTACTATAAATAATATTTACAATACAAACAAAAACAAATTGTCGATGCTCGGTCATTGTCCAGTGGTCACAGCACCCTGTGTCTTCTATTTTCAAAGAATTCAATGAACTTCCGAACTTATGTAATATTATAATATTATAGTTTTTTAGCAATGGGTGTTTTTTGCACAGCGGTCTGGTATTCAACCTTGAACTGTTATAACACCGTTTGAAATTCAAAACCAGAATGACATACAAATATACTTTTTTTTCTTTTGTTTATGGAAGATACGGATGTAGATTGTGTCAGTCTTGTCTTCTGCTAGACATTATCTGCTCAATATATCGCACGTAACTTTCAAATTTTTTAACTTTTAGCTTTAGCTACAAATATTACATTTAAACAATCGAAAATGTTAATTCAATACGAGCCATCCAATCCACCATATCAACCTGGATTCGAACCCAGTATGTACTTGAAGAGGTAAATTTATCTGGCCTGTGGAAACAAAGGAAGACGAGAGAATTACAGTACACAAATTAATCTATATGAATATAGATAACATTATCATTTGTTTTTGACTGCAGCTTACGTGTATTGTACTCATTTAAATGAAACACTTGTTGACGATGATTTTAAGCCGTTAAAATTGTTTTATTTAAATATTACAAATATTAATACAATGATAATTTATAATTTATTTTTATTTTATTTATTTATTTACACACAGGTTTTACATATTTAATACACATCTGTTAAAACTAAAATCTATACAAACTAGTGATAGTGGTATAAAGATTTATCTATTTTAATCACAATAAACTTTGTCTTATAGACTCACTATATATAAAAAAGTGTAGTACAGTATATCTAAAGAGTATGTGATACTAGAAACATATGTGCTACTTGTGCAAGTGGATGTATATTTAATTTGTTTTTAATGTGATCCCAAACTAGGCAATGCCTGTCTTATGGGAACCACTCAAAACCGTGTTAGCTATAGGATAGACGAGTTATATTAAAAAATAGATATACAGTCCCTAGATTATATGTTTATTTTATATTGTAAGCATTATTTGTTAAACAATGTATGACGTGAGAATATATAGTGTTTCTGGTTATACATATGGAGGGAGTATGTTTTAAAGTGTAAGATTACTGGAGAGTATGTAAGATTTTTTCTGTTTCGTCGTATGTTAATGTATGGAGCCATTTTTTTACTATGTTATATGCAGCGTTGTGATGCAAATGTTTTATATTGCAGGACTTGACTACCTTGTTGTATATTTGAATATGTAAGAATTTAGGAGGCCGTATGACTTTGTATGATTTGATTGTAGGAAGGCACACTTGGTACACTCGTTTTGATAAAAGGTTTTCATATTCAGCTGAACTCCTTACTGATGTGTGAGTTATAGTTGCAGATTTTAGTACATATAGCTGTCTGACACTGAGCAACCCCGCTTCCTTGTAAATGAGTTCGGTAGGCGTCATTACTGGTTGTTTCAGCATTGCTTTAATAACTCCTCTTTGTGCTCTTTCAAGGTTTATCATGTATGTTTTAGCACTTCCGCCCCAGACTGCGATGCAATATGTTATGATAGACTGACACAAGGAAAAGTAGACCACCTTAATGATATTCCATGGTGCACATCTACTTATTTTCCTGTAAATGTATAAAAATTTTCTTACTCTGATGATGATCAATTGGCTTCAGCTTTGTCTTTTCCTACTGCCTCGTATTATTTTAAATGTTTCGCGAAGAGAAGATATTTTGCTATGATTTTATTTGTAGGACACACAAAACTAATGAAAATATTTATAATTATTCGACACTAATAGATGACCGCAATTATTAATGTGTATTTTTCATTACGTAACATTGGTTATGAATTAAATCTTATGTCAAATTTCATTAAAATGTATTGGGTATTTTATTTGCCATGTTTACAAAGAAACACCCTAAATACAGGTTAGTAAAAAAAACTAAATTCAAACAAAAGTATACTGTATGCGAATAAAGTGACTATACTATCCACATTTTTACTAGTTGATTATATAAAGTACCGTTAAACTAAGGTTCAATAATTCCTAAGCAACTGGCTTATCAGATCGTCGCTTTCATAAATATAAAAACTAGATATCATCTACCGTCTGGAGAATCGTAAGGCCTCTAAAACTAGTTTCATTTAAATGTCAACCACTATTATTACCACTTCCAAAAAGGTCGTCGGGTCAGCGGATATCATCTGCAATCGCAAATCATGCGCTTTGAAATCTCATTACGATATTCTCTCTCGACCTTTTTTTTAGATCATTTTTTGAATTTGGAATAAATTGTATTTATTCCAAAGTCCAGTCTTTTTGTTTATTGTGCGTTTTTCTATTCCACGTCGAAACTATGAAGTTTCGTTCATGAGTACGAAATTTGTTTAACTACATACATGTAACTAACTAACAAAATTAACATACGAATTCCATCATCATTTACTAACATTGTATTTATGATATAGGAGTACAGACAAGCATGATGTTCGTTTAATGAATGGTAAAATAGCCATATAACGATTAGGCTATTTTGAATTTTCGGAAAAACTTGTATTGCTTTTGACTGTTTTATTTAAATTATGGTCTTAGAGCACAGATCCCCGTCCATCTCAGCGGACATCTAAAAGGAATCTGTCGGTGAAGTCATTTAAAATTAACCTTATGTTTTACATAGTATCCCCACTATGTAAGACCACTATTGAAAAACGAATTAAAATTCTATTTTATACATATGCATACATAAAACAAGTTATAATACTAAAAGCAAAAATATAAGTTTGACATGACAGCTAATAAAAATCTAAAGCACATATTAAATTATCTATATCTTTTATGTATTTTTTTTTTAAATATCTATACTAATATTATAAAGCCGAAGAGTTTGTTGTTTTAACGTGCTAATGTCAGGAACTACTGGTTCGAATGGAAAAATGTATCTTGAATAGAGTACTAGACATCAATTATTGTAAAAAAAAAAAAAAAAAATATGTATGAAGGATTGATTCTTCTTCATGTGATTTAAAAATGTCTGAATTTTTAAGATTAACTCGCAAGAACCGTTTTTAGTAATCAAATTTGGGTCCAATGTTTTTAGCATTATTACCAATAATTTGTTAGAGTTCTATCAACTTAAAATATTTATCTCATAAACAACAAAGCAATGTTTGCCAGATTTTATAAATTACATAAGACACTTTTATCGGTTTAAAACGCGATATTTTTAAACTTATTTACTCGCCGTGACCACGGCTGCTACAAATCACTCGAAAACTCGGGCCGTAGTTAAAATGATTTGTAAATAATTTTGAGTAATACATATCACATATTGAACCGTTAAAAGTATTTTAATTAAATGTGTGCTACTGCAGATGTGGTGTGTTTTGAACCTACTCATTTAAACAGCAAATGGCTGATTGAATTATATTAACATCTTCCTTAAAAAATAATATTTTAGATTTCGTTTTTTGCTATGTGCCTATGTTCGTACACATCACTATACCACTATCGTATACATTCATATAAACACCAACAAATTTTAAAAAGTGAGTCTGTTGTATACAACCATGGTGTATAACCGTTTTTTACACTTGAATTTGTTATTTAGAAATATTTGTTCTAATACTTTCGAATCTTATAATTATTTAGAAAGTGCTGTAGATAAATCTTCCGTTTGCAGCAGCGGATTTTTAAATAAACGTATAATCATTTAGCTTAATGGAAATTTGCGATTACAAAATGATTTCTCACGTAAGTAGTAGTACAAATACATACTGATCCTTTTTTGTATAATATTTGTCAATTAGTTGAAGTCGTAGAAAATTGAGCGAGAAAAAAAAACACAAGAACTATGTAAAAATATTTACATTTATCATTAAGTTGTATAAAAATGTATATACAAAAGTATTAAATTATAATATCACTTGAGCCAAACAGCTCGTTATAACCCTCCAGAGCTTGTCTATCGGTAACAAATATTGTCTAAGTGAGTCCATTTTAATTCCAAATAAGTTTACATTATTACCAAATATATAATGTATACTTATTTGTGCTTCAGAGATTTGAAGTGCCTTTGAGCTTCTAACGGTTTTATAAGACAATCGATGGCACAAGCGAGACTCGAACTCACAACCTAGAGCTTATTGAGGTTGGGGTGCAGCTGTGGCGAGGTAGGCAAGAGCACGCTGAATCTCAGCTGGGATTGGTGGTGGTGTGGGCAAATGAGCGCCTTGTGGTTGGTATCCATTCTCATCAGCGACGTAGGTCAATTGAATGTTGCTTCCATCATCGCTGGGGTATTGAACTTGTCCCTGGATTTGAAGAGCCGGTTCCTCAGCGCCAATGTTCCTCAACTGGCCGCTGGCATCCGCGGAGATACCGTTTCCAGTTTCGAACGAGTACTGGAACGAGCCATCTGGGTTGATGTCGCTGTTTTGCCTAAGAATGGGTATGGGTTCTGGTCCTTGGGGAGCCGCTAGAGCGACCGCCAACAGAGATAGGGCAACCTGTGGAAAAGAAGCAAAATTAATACCCAAAAAAGCACTTCCTTCAAATTTAAACATCATCAGCAATTTTTTTAATACAGATGAGGATGGGGATGGGGTACAGATGATGAAAGGTGGAATACCCCAGCTATAACATCTAAACAAGATGTCGACCTTTTTTGGCTGGTAACATCCAAAATATTCGAATGCATGTATATAGATGTATTTGGTAATCCAAACGTCACATTAAACGATAGATTTTTATAACGTATTTCACCAATAGGTCACAGAGCAATGAAAGGTCACAGATACGAAACGGTACACTGACACTTACAATGGTTTTCATGTTTGTACTGAAACGGTGAAGGTACTAGACAATGTTGGTCTAAGATTGTAAGTCGGTATATATACTGGTGGATCACCGTACCACTTACCACCACTGGGGCGTGTTGCACCATATGCCCCGTCAAAATAAATTCGACGGAATTATGAGCGGGCTCACCTAGAGAAATGTCTGAGTTATATTTTATTTAGCGGCGATCAATTTGAACCGGCAATTATCAGAGTTTTTGCGTTTACTAGGGTATAATTTAACTGTTAACCGCGCATCGACATATTAAAAGCTGCCTATTAATGATTCTAATATACGCTTATTACATTTCTGATACTGTAAACAAAATTTCGAATTTTAATAAAACATTTTAACGGTTTAGAACGCGAAGTATATTTAACTACAGCGAGACGTTTCACTGATATGATTCGTGTTTTAAACCGTTAAAGTGTTTTATTTAAATTTTGCGTAAACTATACACAGTGTCATGCTTTAAATGTAAGTTAAAAATTATAATTAAGATCTACGTTTCCTTAAAAAATATAAATGCATACAATTGAATTTTTCTGTTATATAACATTAGAAACTAATAAGACGCCCCAACATTACTTCTATTTAAAATATTGTTATATAATTATAAATCGGCTACTAGTGCAAAATATAAGTACACTAGTACATAGAAACATAATAACTACTTAACTAGAGAAAATTAAAATTGAAAGTTGAATTTTTTTTTGCCAAGTACGTGGATATCTCATAGTCCATTGCTGGAAGACACTAGGGGCATTAATAATAAATAAGTAATAATTCTCTAACAGAGTTCTTTTGAAGCGGTTTCATTTTGCTCGATCCGTAAGGAACTTATTTATTTGGTTCAGATAGAAATTGAAATTTAAGCACCTTCCCGTTGTCAGATTGATCTAAAATTTGGTACACACATTTAATTAAAAAATAATAAAATCGAAAACATTATAAATCCAAGATGGCCGCGGATACAAAATGGCGGATTACATATTTTTCCTTAACCCCCTCAATATGAGTATCCAATGAAAAAGCTACACAAGTAAAACACTATGATTATGTCAAAATTTAAAATTTTTATAGTTTCAGTGTACGAAAAATAAAACCGTTTAGCTTCGAAGTTTTTTTAAGTTGAAACTTGTTCCTATTATGAATTGTGATAGCTGTTGGCGCATTTGCCAATCGGACTTTCGTAAAGAAAATGTCAAAGCCATTATGAAATCCAATTTCTATTTAGAATTAATTGTCCAATACATTGTATTTAAATAGCGGTGTACATTTTTAGAGGAAAATATTAATGTAACCTGCAAACAACCTCTTGAACTTTCAAACCGACCTTTCGACAATAGAAATCTAAACAAATGTATTTACATTTCAACTTAGTACGTCACATATTACCAATTTACGGTTTCATGTATTGAAGCATTATTATCAAATCTTCACTGTATTTGCCGGCTCAACGTCTTGCCTGGCATTGCGTTAAGCGCGAGATGCCATGGTTCTAATCGCGGGCATACAATAAAATATTTCAATCAGTCCAAGACAGACGGACGGACAGAACACAAAAATCTCTTAATCCCATAAGGAAAACGGGCTTTTTCTAATTTTAAACGATGACTAAATCAATATTCATCATGTTTTAATCTGAAGATTCAAGACGTAGAATCGAATCAAAATAATAAAAAAAGGAAAACAAGAGCGTATTCTGTTGCTACTAATCAATTGGTAGAGCAGTAACTCGCAACGCAGGGTTGTGGATTCAAATCCCGATTGCGGCTGTTAATATTTATTTTTCTTTGTAATTTATTTTTTCATTAATCTTGTAAAAAAGAAACTAATAACAGCCAAGAAAAAGAGAAAAGCCAAAAGTACAAAAGGTATTTCATAAATTATTAAGCATAAAATTTTCATTACATTAGAATATACATATAAGGCAAATATCGGGGGGTAACTGGCTAATCCCAAACTGCACTGGGTTCAATTTTTTTACCGGGCACAACATGTTTTAGTTATATTTCTTTTCAAAAGTCATCTGGAAATTTAGTACACTAATTGGGTTTAAAATATTCCGTGCGAGTAACTAACCACCATTCAGTGGTGTAAATGCGTATTTTGTTTTTGTCTCTGTATTTTCAAATGCCCGAAGCAAAAATAGGCCGACAGCGCATAATGTTTAGATGCTATATGGCTGGACTATATCGTATTTCATCAAGCCCCACGCTAGTCTGCTATTCTCTCTAGTAAAAAGCAATGGCCCACTTAGGATGTCGAACAATTGATGGGCAATGAAAATTCCAGGATCGTAAGTCTAAATTAATAATGTGTGTTGTGTTTTTGTGTTGTCTCTCGCAACCATGACTTTTTCAGCAGTCAACAACGCAATTGGACGTTAGAATGTTCTATCGTACAACGACCGTCCACGTAGAAAACAGCTGTTCAAAGTTATTTTAGATACTCAGATAAGCAAAAATAACTACTTAGAGTAATTATAGGTATATGACAAATACGATGTCTTTAGCATCTATAACGATTTCGTAAATATATTCGGTTACATATATTTTCTATTCAATATCATCTAGAGAGCATTTGCGTAACCGCGTAGACATACATGTAAACATCACAAAAAGCAAATTACAAAATCTATCTACTTAAATTAAGATAATCTATTCAAGTCGAATTACCATCGGGTTTTTATTGAGTAATTAACGAACGCAACAAACCGTTATGTATCTAACATAATCAATAATCGTTATAATATACCTAGTATTCTTGAACTTCAAGGCAATGATAATATTTTTTTTAATTGTGTACCTATAAGGTCGTGTCTATCATAACATGCAAGTTTGTAGCACGTTATGTTGAACTATGTCAAGTCTTCTTGAATACAATTTAATTATCTAGGATCTTTAATTAACTAAAGGATTTTTAGTTGACTTACACGATAGCCTGCTTAGTTATATTTGAAATGTTGACATGTAATAATGTAGTACTTTTTTTTATTATTTTTTATGTTTCTAATAATAAGACGAAGAAAACAAATACATCACAATTATATTATAATACTGATTCGAATTGATAATTTATTTTTGCGTTGATTGGATCACTTGTTGACTACGGGTGGAAAACAAATGGACTAATAGGAGAGAAGAAACAGTGGAAAATGTATAAAAAACGGGGGAAATATTGTATTCATCTTTGAGGGCTTCCGTTGCATGAGTTGCGAAAACGGTTCAAGATATCCAAAAAATATTTATTCATTTTTAAAATAATCTAAAAAAACGTGACGGTATGTGTCTTTTTTTATAAGATCAGAAGAACCGTTTTCGTGCTAATAAAACTTTGTTCGAAATTTACGTTATCCGTTATATATATGTAGACTGTATTGCACTTTTGTATTTTTATCATCCGATAGTTTTACAACATGCTTTTTTTATATTCGGACGTAACTCCCTGCGACTATGTATAATGTACTAATGAAACTGGTTTGCATTTTTCAATATTTCTAATCACATATGTCAATAAATTATATATATATTATTCAATTTTTATATGTAATACATGATGTACTGTTTCGTTCATACATCATAAACACGATTGATAATGACATATTCGTCAATAAGTAGGATAACATGACATCCATATTACAGTATATTATAATAACTTGAATAAAACCAGTCTCCGATCGAGAATCATTTAGTGAAATCATGTAGCTCATAAATTTATTAATTACCTAATATTATTAATTAATTCAATAACATTGTTTCAAAATATTTTTATTGACCGCTTTGACATTTTATAAGAGGCTTCGCACACTGGACATCGACCACGGACTAAAGACATAACTTCATGATTTTTTACATATTTTATACTAGCTGTGCCAGCGATCATGTCGGCGTAGAAAGAATTGTTATTTTGGGCGTCAAAATTTTTTTTGCAAACCTCCTCCTTATTTTTATAAATATAGTAAATAAAAAAATATACTTAATTCTCTTTAAAATTTTAAAAATTATTTAGATTCGACAAAAAAATTTTGTTTGTCTGTCTGTTCGTCGTCATTCTACAGAGTGTTCAAAAGAGCAACATAACTGAGAACACCCAAGAAACTCAGTCCGGCTTTTTTAAAATTGTCTTATAAACTAAAACATCGTTGTGAATTTATTAACCTAAGGAGCAATTTATATTACTGCCGGGCGGTCTTGTTATTATTGAAATCATGCAGAAAATAATACGCCTTTTGAGACAATCTAACTTTCATAACTTATTTTGTATTTATCGATAAATATAAAATCTCGACTGGCAATGTATTACTTACATTGTAAGTATACAACAATTACAAGAATGCGTGTTTTTAGCTTGCCTATGTTTTGCAAGAAACTCGGGACGCCAACTACGTCGTGGGACTATAGAAAAGAAAGGGGTTTGAAAAAAAAATTCTACGCAGACGAAGTCGCTGGCACAACTGGAACGTTATATTGTAATTAATTAAGTGTTCCATCAATTTTGTATATTAATATATTATTGATACGTAGTTCCACAAAAATCAAGCGAAATAAAAAGTGCTATTAAAATATAAACTGTTTAATTCATATAAAAATATAAAACTTAAAAAATAACTTTTCGTGACTTCCTATTTAACTTAACCTTCTTATGAGCTTTCAGTCTGAGGGGGTGCGGTTGCTAGATAAGCCAAAGCTCGCTGGATAGCTTCTGGCACTGGGGGTGCGGTGGGGAGATGGGCACCCTGAGGTTGGTATCCGTTCTCATCAGCTGTGTAGGTAAGCTGAATGTTTCCATCTTCACTTGGATATTGGAATTGACCTTGGACCTCCAGAGCTTCGACGTCACCCACCTTTTTTAGGTCTCCTTTTTGGTCAGCACTTATACCATTGCCAGTTTCAAAGGAGTATTGATACGAGCCGTCGCCGTTGATCTGGCTGTCCTGGCGAACAATGGGAACTGGTTCGGTAGAACCCTGAGGAGCTGCAGTCGCTACAGCAACGATTAGTGAGAGGATGGCCTGAAAATTGATAATAATAAAATAATTTAGACATACAAAAAAATCGTTTAGTTTGTTTCTTCAGCTCAGCCATGTACCAACTTGACATGATACGCTGTTGAGCTAATTTGGATTCGGATATTCGGAAATCCACAGACTGTAACCGAAACGCGATTAAACTTCACAGCTTTTTCATCTATGGACAATACTACATCTATATTTTTAGACGAAATTCAACACGTTTCAAAGGAATAACACAAATTCTTCTAATTTTGCTTTGATTAATTACAGACAATTTAATATCACAGCACACTTATTGATTGTTATTATGGTGCAACTCATGTTTATGACTATTATTTTACCGATATAAAAAAAATATATAGTATAAAATAATAATTGAAGAACCCTTATAGCGTTCAACTTTTATTGTATTACGTACGCATTAAGGCATTTTAGTAGATCTTATTAAGATTACTATTATACAATATTTAATTATTATGGTCCATTTATAGATACGTCTTAGTTCAGAATTATTATCTGAACTGCGCTTTCATAACTGATTATAAAAATTACTAGTTCCGTATATTATTGGATCGGCAGCTTTGGATCAGCGCGTTCAAACAGACACTTAGTACATGGTGAAAACTGTCACTACACTGGCACAAACAAGCGAACTGAAGTCTGACGTCGCATTGAACACTTACAAGGTATTTCATTGTGATGTATGACTAGTTGCCGATGTAATTTAAGGTCGTACAATGTATCGACTGATGCTGTCAGGTCCTGGTAATTTGAGTATTTATAGCGTGGCAATATTGTCCACCTCCCGACATTCCTAATTTCGTCATACATTGCGCTGTCGCAAAATCTATGAAATAAGTAAACAGTGTATGCATTACCTCCAATCAAATATGTCAACTTGACGTAACTGCTGTCAACAAAACGGCTTTTCCATTTGTTCAGTATTGACCTTACAAGCTCTATTTGCAGCTTTATAACAGCGACGCTCTCCATGGTTCAATGGTTAAGACTAGCCTAACATCATCAAGTTTTTATCTTACGAAAAAAAAATTAAAAAAGTAAGACTCAAAATCCATCGGTGAAACAATCACACAAATATATCTGCCGTATAGATAATACGAGGTTTCACACACATCTAAGGAATCCTTCATGCTGTTCGTATATTTAATGATTTCATGATATTAATAGTTATATATATATATATATATAAAACATTAAAATAGAGTTACTTATTGTTAAATTATAATATATTTATACTTATATCATTGGAACTCTTATTAGGAACAACAGATGTGCTACAGATTAAAATTCTTCATTTCAAAACTGAATCGTTTATCTTTGCAAAAAGAATATCAAAATCTATATTTAAAATATACAGCGCTATAATACCGACGGAGGTCTAAAGTTCTATCCCCAATCGTGTACCATATGTACCTGTTTATTGCTATATGCTGTCTGGTGAAGGAATACGTTGAGAGAATACCGATTTATTAGATAATAACAAACAATAATTGCCGTTACTAGATAACATACAATTGACACGATAGATTTAAAGAGACCGATTCCCAGCTGTGGAATCTATTGAAGGCTGATAAATGCGAATAATTCTGCGTCTGTTTAATTGAATATTTAATTAAAAACTAGCTGTGGCCGCGACTCCGCCCGCGTGGAATCCTTATTTTGGGCATCATATTATTTATTTATGCAGACAAGCTCTTCAGCCTTTTAAATTCTACCTACGACGTTATTCTCTTCACCTTTATAATGTCTATACATTATATTATACTTTATACTTCACCAATTTTTTTAACAACATCGCAAAGCAGTAATTTACCACTATGTATTTAATAAGCTGGATATTTAAAATATAGTATTGAGTATACTATATTTTAAATATCCAGTCATCATATATCCAATATCATAATTATTGATCATACAAATCTAGGGATTACAACATATGATTGAAAATGTATCCACAGAGATCCTATCGCATATGTATCGGTGAATACAATATTATGTAATAGCACAATCATTCATATGAATAGGTATTCTAACAAAAGATTTCATAAATGTTATGTAAATAATTGTGGGTAGTACCGAGTTTGTCGGTCAGATGGCTTTAGGGTTCTGTCGAGCTTTTTAGCGCTAAGAAATAGATTTCCTCATAGAATATAAAGCGGAGATAGATTTATTATTATGAGTATTATAATCAAATAACGAAAATCAGTTCTAAGTTCTACGTATGTATACGTTGAAACAACTGGAACTCATTAAAACCGTGTTTAACGGTTTAAACCGAGAAATTTATCAGTTCATAAACAGTTTAATCGCGTACTGACGCGTTCCGCATCAGAAACTTTTTACTACCACTTTAAACTACGGTTACTTAATTTGTCGCAACTAAACCTTTATAAACTTAATTCGCCAGTATAAAGTGTTTTTTCTTCTAAGCTTTTTATTTAATATTCAAAGGACATCATATGGATGAATATTTTCTAGAAATCTTTTTACACGTACTGTATAATAAGATTTCTACAAAATTTGCATTGATACATTGAAACAATATCTATATATTATAGTTAGTTGATAACCCATTTTTTGTTTTTCGTTATAACAAAAAAATGAAGTTTAAATGTTATTTCGTCTATTGGGTTTACGTAAGTAGTATTTGATCTATGGCCCGACGTGAAAAGGTATCGCGTTGAAAATGTTTTATTTAAAAATATTATAAAACTGCTACTAATATATATAGCGTTTTAAACCGTAGTTCATTTTTTGTTTAAACTGCAGACAGTATTTAAGAAACCTTTTAAGTTATTATTGACAAAAGATTACTACTGCTAATAAAAATACATTCTTACGATGTCGGTTGAGTAATTTAGGTAAACGAAAAGATTTTCCTGTCCGTTTTAAATATTTCTACTGTGTAAAAAGATAGCAATAATTTTCTCAGAATCATCTCGATATGAAGATGCGATAAAGTGCAAGAGATGTGAAGTTTATGGCAATGCCGTGGTCCCACGACCTTGACACGCCAGGGAAAGTGAACCGACGGCTTATTGAGCAACGTCGCAAGATGACGAACTTATAGTCGTTTCGCACTTCGTACGATTCCACTCGCTCGCTCTTTCTCTTCTCTATTATTCATAAGTTATTCAAAAGACAATAGATAAATAATAAAACGGAATAATACGTGCAGAGATTGAAATAGTTTTTTATGATAGACAAAGACAAGCATAGGGCTCACTGGATTTTCGGATATTCGGAATCCATAGGCTGAAACGGAAACGCGATTTTAGTCATTCCGTCTTTTTCATCTCGGTATGAGATTTGTGACCCAGACGGATATTATTACCACAGTTTAATATCAATATTTCCAGACGAAGTTCCGTTTCGACAAGTTCGACAACTTGTTTCCGAAAATCTTATAAATGAATACTGTCTGTCTATAGTTTACGCGAGTAGTACACATTTAAATAAAACACTTTAACGGTTTAAAACGCGATATATTAGTTAAACTTATTTGAAAATGATTTTTAACGGCCCGACGTTTCGGATGCTTTCCAGCAGCCGTGGTCACGGGGAGACAAATAAGTTTAACTAATATATCGCGTTTTAAACCGTTAAAGTTTTTTATGTAAACTTATAAATGATTTGAAACCACGACCCGCTGATTAGAAAACATTGCTACCGTTACACCAACGAGCCCGCCAAATTGAAACAATGCGAAAATTGTTATTATAAAAAATAGAATCTACGGCCTACACTAAAATATACTGAACTTTAGGCGTTTTATCTGTGGTGTCGGTTCATGAGCAGTGCTGAACACCATTTCAATGTTTCTCCTGTTGAAAAAGTTTGTGATCCATATAATTGATTATCATAGTGTTGGAATTATTTATATACAGTTAGGAGCATTCATATAATCGGAATAATTATAAAGAACGGCATTGTTTGAAGAAATTTTTACAATTCATTTTTGTCTTCCATAAATAATTTAGTAGTAAAATATAGTTAAATAATAAAATTAGAGGATCATCTTTATGAGTGAAAAAAACAAATAAAGACAATAAAAACATCAAGATAAAGCAATTGGGTAATACTGTCGAGAAGTTCCAAATTAACGCGAGCTTTTGACCATGACCGCTGGAATTTTGATTGAACGTTTTTACTCAACTGCCTATGAATAAGCACATGTCTATTTTTGTATGCTTGTGTGTGCCTATTTTTACCTGAGCAAATAATACCAACATAACTTAGGCAAGAACATCGTTCTATTTTTACTGTCTATACGAATGTTTTGTCAACTTATAACAGACAAGAAAACAATATTACATATACCTTAAACACTTTTATTTCTTATTATTTACATTTATATATTATTGTCTATAGTTAACGCGAGTAGGAAACATTTAACGACACACTTTTAATTAAGTCTGAGAAAAACACATTTAAACGTTCTGTGTGGCTGTATTTGAAATTAATTAAAAAAAAGAAAAATAAGGAGGTTTTGGGGTTTTAAAATTTAAAAGGGGTTTTTTTTAAATTTACACCCTGGAAAAACATCATATGCATGTTTTTTATATGCTCTGGTCTTAAAATACCATAGAATATAGTACTTAATAGTTAGATTCTGGTAAATTACAGTAATCTAATCAAATCCGTATTCTGTTGAGTTCTGGGTTCGATGGGGGTAATGTAGCTAGAAAATCCAAGGATCGTTGTATCTCCTCAGGAATAGGTGGTGGAGTTGGCAAATGTGCCCCACGCGGCTGGAACCCATTTTCATCGGCAACGTATTGTAGTTGAATTATCTGAAAAATATATAGTTTGTATTTTTTGAATACCATCGCTGACACGGCTTCTAATTTAATACCTAATATATCGCGTTTTAAAGCGTTAAAGTGTTTTATTTAAATGTGTACTACGGCTTCTAATGCTGATAAAAATGTGATGGTTTGTTGAGGAAACATATTATTAAGAGTACGTTTTACTAACTTATCACACGGTAAAACTATATGCCACAATGAAAATATACTACTTTTTTTACAAAATCTTGCGCCTGAGTAACACTTTTATCTAATGCCAAGCATGTATTGTGCCATAAATTTTCTTAAGGCCACTTGATTAGTCGAAGGTGTCTTCGATGAATAGAAACGAAAGACGTCATGTATACCTGTCCGTCAGGCGCCGTATATTGGTATTGTCCCTGCGCTGTCAGTGTCTCTTGTTCAGGAATGCCCTGATTCTTTATGGATCCTGCTTCTTCAGCGGTTATACCATTTGCCGTTTCATAACTGAAATAATCGTTATATATAATTGATGAAGTGCAACCGAAAAATAAAAATTACGTCTATGTGTTTTTGCATCAATTTTTACATAAGGCAAAACCTTTAACTTCTAGAACCTAATTTACTAACTGTTTTTTTTAAGCCTAAATAAACTGTCGGTTGTAGTTAAAAAAATCAAGTTTAACTAATATACATCGCGTTTTAAACCGTTAACGTGTTTTATTTAAATGTGCACTACTCGCGTAAACTAGATAGTGGATAGGCTAACGTTGATCTTGTCACAAAGACGTCGATACAGATCTCGTTTAAACACTGGCTTAGCCAAACAAATTACGCTCTTAATTCAAAATTCTTTCGTTATGATAAATGTAAAGGTATTTTACGTGATACTTACCTCCATCTGTAAGACCCGTCAGGATTGATGACCTGATCTTGGCGTAGAATGGGTATAGGTTCTGTTGTGTAGGCCTGTTGTTGTTGTTGTACGTAATATGGCTGATAATCCCTGCTTTGAGCTGCTACGACCCCTAACACTAATACTGCTGTATACTGAAACAAGATATATAGAATTAAAAAATCCGATTTGTCTATCCCGGCTATCTCGAAATGACTTGGGAATTTCAGGAATATTCAACTATCCGTAGGGTAAATCACAAAATTCTGACCACTCCCTTGTTACTGAAACCGTTCAATGGAAAAATGTATTAAGCTGAAACTGAATTTCAAAGAGAATACAAATTTCACCTAAAAGCAATGATCAATAGAATAATAAAGTGGACATTTTTATTTAAGTTAGTTTCGATGTTTTCAAATAAAAATAGCTAGGCTGGTCATCGGTAAACTGTCAATGTCCTATATGAAATGAAAATCGATTATAAGATATAAAAATAATTCTCGGGCAGGACTTGAACGCACATCTTCAGCGTTCCGTGCTGTTGCTCAAACCACGGAATAAAAATGACTCGGTAGCTCAACTGGTTGGCGCAACAACAACAACGCTTAGGATGCCAGTTCAAGTCCAGTTCGAGTCGTAAATTTTTTTCAAGTTATTATCGATTTTTAATTCATATAGTGCCATTATGTGCAACAACATTTGAAAAATACTAAAGTTTTCGAAAGTCAATGTCCTTATTTCTTATTGAAATCAGTGGCTTTTAACTTACGAATAATTTCATGATTAAATCCTGACAAACAGATGTAACACAGAAAAAGCGAACACGAGAATGATGCACTTTGGATCAACCCCAGTATTTATACGACTTTTTCTCTGCAATTACCACACGCCACGTATGCAAAATTTATACTTTACGGTCGGCAGTCAACAAAGGATAGGCTTTGAGGGGCGTCCCTTATCTGGCTTTCGTATGATGTCAGGCGAATATTAAACTTACCATTTTCATTGTCATGGAATTATCAACCTTATTAACCACGTGATAAACGTTAAAATACTGTACTAAATAACAATTAAGATTGTTTAATAGTCACATCTTCATTTCGAATGTAAGGATGGTGATCGAATATTATTATATGCAGATGAAAGATTGTTCCTTTAACTTAATATTAATACAAAAGTACACATTTCAATAGAACACTTTAACGGTTTAAATCGCGATATATAATTGTTAAACTTATTTGAAAATTATTTTAACTACGGCCCGACGTTTTCGATGCTTTACGGCCGTCGTGCGGGGAGGCTAACTAGTAAGCTATTACGAGTTTAATTAATATATATCGTTTTAAAAACTGTTAAATGTTTTATTTAAATTTTGGTCAAAAAGCTGATTTTGTGTGTCCAGTTGAGAACATACTATCGTTATATCTTACCTTCTTTTATTTAAAAACAAATTATTAGCTTTTGATACATATTAAGTAGTAATATTCTCTTTTTAACTTCATAATAATTCAAATATTTAAAAATTGGAGCTTACTGTAGTTAGCTCTTTCACCCAGTAAGTTTTTAATTGGCAGTAATATAGTCATTTTGTTTTAACGATAGTGTCTAGGTTAGTTATTATGGCAAAATTTTGGTGATGACCATATTCCTATCAATTACGCAGTTAGTATTGTACTTTGTACTTGTGTATAATATTATAACCTTATTCAAAACTATATTGTATCGATTAAAAATTTTTGAAAAAAAATAGAGATTCTCAATTGCGTATAAAACATATACATATTAGAAAAATATTTTAGTTACAGCATTATTCATTTCTGTGTTTAAGTTTAAGTAATAAGTGTAGCCTTGTAACACGGATTGTTGTTTTTTCTTTCCTTCTAAAACATAAATATTCAAGAGTGGGTTTTTAACAAAACTTTTAAAGAACTTACAAGTTTAATTTTCGGTGTTCATATTTAATAGATTAAATGTCATGTAAAAACATTTTACTATAATAAACATAAAGTATTATGTAATATTAAGTAAGGAGAGGAGGATCATACAATCAAAGACTTTCTACCCACACAAAACTTTTGTACATCCTTCACCAATAAACAGACATAATTTTTATTGTAAAGAACTTTTATAACGCGATGGTATCTCATCAAACCAGTTACAATACAGGCGTATGACACACTTCAACAAGGTTTTGAAGAAGAATTTATGGAAGCTGCCTATATCTTGCCACATCAACATTTCAGGGTCCATCATAAAATATTGTTTTTTGACTTTTATTAGCCTCGTGTCAATTATTTTTGAATTAAAATCAATATATAGTAACTAAGTCGAAAAGTGATTTATTTATTTAGTTATTCATAATTGTTTTTATACTTAACTTTATTTAACACTAGCTGTGTCAACGACTTTGTCCGCATAGAGTTGGAATTTGGGGCATGTAAATTTGTTTGTGCAAAACTTCTTTTTCATCTTTATAACGCTACCCACGGCTTCGGACGCGTAAGTTAATCTTAAACGATAGACATATAGATAGTGTCGCGGACCTTTTTTAGATTAGTCAAAGAGGATTCATTCTTTCGCAAAAATTTTTAGAGTATCTTGAACCGTTTTTGCAGCGTCCGCATCGGAAACTCACAGAGATTAATATTTTTTCGCGTTTGTTCTACATTTCCCGCTGTTTTTTCCTTCTTTGTGGAAGTTCTAACCAACACAAAAATAATATTTCAACTCGATCAACTAATTTTAAACAAAAACCATCAAATTAAACTAAAATTTAAATAAAACACTTTAACGGTTTAAAACGCGATACAGTTTAGCTAAACTTGTTTGAAAATTATTTTTAACTACGGCCCCACGTTTCTCGTCATTCTCCATCTTTAGTCTCCCCGCGACCACGGCTGCTGCAAAGCATCCGAAACGTCGGGCCGAATTTAAAAATAATTTCCAAATAAGTTTAACTAATAATTATTACGTTTTAAACCGTTAAATTGTTTTATTTAAATAAAAACCATCAGTAAACAGCTTTAAATATTAAGTCTTACGCAATGCTCTATTACAGGATGTGGCTGTTATTATAATAATAAATTCGGGGGGGGGGGGGGGGGGGCGCGGGAGCCCAAGGGGGAGAGCAACAGCACGGAACGCTGACGATGCCGGTTAAAGTCCTGCCTGTAAACATTTAATAATACTTTTATTGTATTATGGTAACTATGACGAAGTTGTGGGTAACAACTTAAGTTTATAAGGATGAAGAGGAGGTTTGCAAAAATAACTTTTGGATGCCCAAAATAACTGTCTAACGCTAGTTTTATAAAAATAAATCTTAAAATTAATGAAAAATCATATTTATTTACAAGCTATAGTACTATACATTGAACATCGCACAGTTGAATTTAAATAGTTTTCTTGACGTCTTTGAGAGCGTGGTAGGGGTTGTAAGGGTTGAAACGTGGGTCGAAGGCTCTAGCGGGGCTGTACTGGTTGTACAATGGGTTCCTGTAGTTAATAGGGGTATAGGCATTGTAACGAGGGTCATACACGTTTCTGTTGATTCCGTCTAACAGAGCAGGGGCGGCGCCTTTACCGTCAGCTGGGATGTGCACACCGGAAGGTCTGAAGCCTGTCAAATTATATGTAATTAGGAAAAAAACTTTTAACGGTTTCAAACGCGAAATTTATTACTAATTTATTCTTTAAATGCATTTTATAAACTAATTTACATTTTATTTAAACTACGGCCCGACGCGGACATTTCGGATGCATACCGGCAGCCGTAGTTACGAGGAGACTAGAGGTCCAAAACTTCGGGCCAAGCATTAACTAATACATTTCGGTTTTAAGCAGTTAAAAATGATTTATATTAATGTATACGAAGATACGGACATACTTATATTTTAATAGGCTAAACTATTGGAATGAGGTAACCTTCAAAATAAAGCATTTGACAGAAAGACCAAGCTAAATTAAAACATGCCAAAATAAAATTCTTAGAATTTATTGTCTCAAAACATGGGGATAATATTTAATTTAGTATTAAGGTAAGCACTTAGAAATAATTAACACAGATTTGTGTATGTAATGTAGCTGCAGAATATGCCTCGTAAGTAATATGAAACCATGTCAAAATATAATAATAAGCATATTTCAAGATCATAGTGATCATTGTTATCTTAAAAAAAACTTACCATTTTCATCCGCAACATAGTTCACTTGAATCGGGGTTCCCTCAGGTGAAGTGTAAGCATAACTTCCTTCAACCACCTGAAAACAAAATAAAAAAGAAATACTTGACCAGGCACCCATACCGTTCTCTTTCAGACTAAAATCGATTTTTAATTAATATAATGCCATCGTGCGCAAATACATTTCAAAATATTAAAGTTTTCAAACGAAATAAAATTTCAACATAACAGAAGTGAAACTATTGCGTTAGATGAAAAAGTCAATAAACAAACTCTACCTGTGTCCCTTGAGGTGATCCGGTATTGTCAATGTAAGCATCCTTCAAAAATCCACTTTCTTGAGCCTGTTTCCCATCGCCAGTAGTAAAGCTAAACATTGCAAAAACATTTGAAAACATTAATATTGTTTACATGTTATTGCACATGAAGGCACCATATAATTTAAAAATCGAAAATAAATTGACATAATTTTCGTCTCGGGCAGGACTTCAACCGGCATCGTCAGCGTTCCGTGCTGTTGCTCTACCAATTGAGCTACCGAGCCCAACACCTCATCGTCGAATTTTTGTCGAGAGGTGCATGTATCAATAAGTTGAAATTAAAAAAAGTCTCCGCGACGCTATATGTCTATCTTTTAAGATTAACTTGTAAGAACGACGGGAAGGGACGCAACCGACGAGGGTAACAGCTTAAGTTTATAATGATAAAGGGGTCTGTAAAAACGACTTTGGATGCCCAAAATTAAATATTCTTAGCGGACGAAGTCGCTGGCACAGCTAGTATACCATATATTTCACCTTCCATTAAGTTAACCCAATATCTGTCTGTCCTTCTTTAAGTTATAATACGCACCTGTAAGAATAACTTCCATCGACACCTCGGTTGTTGGAATAGCTCGTTATAGGGGCAGTCGCACTTGCTGGGTTGTAATAGGGGCTTTTGTAACCATTGTATCCGGGGTACGCTGGGTTACGACCATTGGCGAATGGAAAAGCGTTCACTGGAGACACTAGTCCTGGTATAGCAGCTGCTACAGGTGGAACAACTGGAGCGACCACGGCTGGGAGCGGGCTACTAAGTGCCATGTTGATGCACAAAGCCACACATGTTGTTATGAGAAACATCTGAAAAGAAAAGATGTTATAATATTAATAATACTACTGCACCAGCCCTGCAAGTGTAAAAAGGCAGATTTTTTTTTCATGATAGTTCTATGTATGGTGAAATACCTAACTCATATAACTTTGAAACAAGATGTGCTGTCGGCCTATATTGGCTTTGGATATTCTACATTGAGAGCGCTGAAATTAGGTTCAATTACAAAACTACTACGTTACGACATCTATCGCAGGATTAACTCCTGTGCATTTTTTTAATAAACTTTTTAGACAAAATAAACTTTAATATTTTGATAATAATATTTTACACGAGTAGTATCAAACACTATTTGTAGTTTACGCGAGTAGTACACATTTAAATAAAACACTTTAACGGTTTAAAACATATTGTGTAATAGTTAAACTCGCGGTCACCGAACACCGGAAGTTGTTGCAACAACCAAACTTCCGAAACGCCGGTCCGTAGTTAAATAATTTTCAAATAAGTTTAACTAATATAAATCGCGTTTTTAACCGTTAAAGTGTTTTATTTAAACGAGTAGTATTCGTCAGTTAAAGAAAAGCTTAAAACGCGATATTTATTGTTAAATCATTTATTAAAACAATACGCTTTGTGTGCGTCAACTGATATCAACCAAATATTTTTGCCTTATAGTTTACCTTTTTTAGAGCACTTTTTGAAGCCGGCCACTTCTATTGTTCTCACTGCGTTAATGTAGCCGCTTGATACGAGTATTCTATTTATACCTATTACAGGACTACCGAGTGTTAACTTTTTTTGCCGTTACATTACTCAAACGTGACGTTACACATCCCTTTTACTGTCTGTTATTTCGATTTTAACTCGTCCACGTTCTAATAATGTAAGATTTGTTTTGCGCCATTTCAAATTACTATAAACATCGCAAATAAAGGATAATTGTAACAATTATTTTGTTCCTGTCATTCAAAGCTGATATTCCTACAATTTGCAATCGTAGACAATTTCGTGACTCCATGTCTATCAATACAATATCGTGAACTTAGAAGTGGTCTACAATATTCATTTTAATATGTAATTAATTATAGCGTAACTAACAGGATATCGTGTAAACTTAAGACTAAATAAAACATTTAGAGAATTTTTGTCTAGCCAACCACGGCTGCTGCAAAGCATCAGAAACATCGGGCCGTAGTTAAAAATAATTTTCAAACAAGTTTAACTAAAATATATCGCGTTCTAAACCGTTAGTGTTTTATTTAAATGTGTACTACTTGTGTAAACTGACCGCCTCTGTAGACAAATGGTTAAACGTATTGCCTAGCATTGCGTTAAGCGTGAGAGGTCCTGGGTTCGAATCCCAGGGAAACATAAAATTGTTTTGGTCGGGCAGGGCACATAAGTCTGATCAACTACTTGCCCGTTAAAAGAACGGATAAGTGAAACGAACACAAAAATGTCTTCGCCCCATGCCCCACGAGGGCGAAACGGGCTTTTACTTTTTTTTTAAAGATTAACTCATTATAACCGTTTTTGGTAATGAAATTTTGATTGAAACACTTCAAGTAGTAAAAGAACATCTGCCAGATCAGCTTTTAGATATGTGTAAAAACGCCCTTTTGAATCATCCAAACTTATAATTCTTGTTGGTAAACAAGCATAGTTTTACATAACTCTGGTGTCATATTTCCAAGTTACTCCTTAAAAGAAGGTCAAACATTTGTTTCATTTATCTCAAGTCGAACGAGAGAGATACAAATCTAATTGTCAATTAAACCGCACAATTACATCAGGTTGCTCTTAATAATAGACACGTCTTCATTAAATTTTAGGCAAAAATTAACATTGCTCTGTAATTTACTTTTTTGTCCGCATACATAAAGTAGTAGTCAAGATAATTGTACAAAGCGCTTTGAACTAGTATTGCGTGTTATTTTATTCAACGACTTAAGGGTCTAACTGTACAAAGTAACTTATTTTAATGAATTGGATATAGAAAATCGGTAATTTTGATTGGTACTAGCATGATCATCTTTATGGCTTGGCTGGTTCGAATGTTGGAAAAAAAAATGTTGCGACTATGCGGGTTAACGGAAAATATTCGATGCTTTAATTATATACAAAAATGTGTCAGTTACTTGCACCGCATGTAAGACCAGATTTTCATCTTTTCGTCTAAAAGTCCAGGCTCTATACCTTTTTCATTACAATTATTTTATTAGAGTTTTTGTTTGCATATACGTTCTACAGAGGCACAGCAGATTATTTTGTTCTAAAATCAACAATTTCCGTAGCGCTTGCGACGAAAAACGTTTTTTTTAACCTTGAGTTACGTTACTAAAGTTAAAGTAAGAATCTTTAAACTTTTAGTATTATACGTTCGCAGCTTTCGTAAGGTGAAAGATTTTTTTCGACACAGTAGTTTTTCAATGCACCCATTACAAACGCACATAAAAATACAAATATTTCCTCATTATACTATTAGTGTATGCCTTCGGTTGCCGCTATACGCCGTATGTTTAGTTTTTTTGTAAAATCTACAATTTTAATCTGTCCTTATCCTGAATGGTCAAAATAGTGTAACATTTTATTAAACTGAATGCACTCAACTATTTTATATTCAAAGGACACCAAAATTCGAAGTCGAACAACGGGGTTACAGTCGCCGCAAATTCAGCGCCTGATTTTAAGTAATTTGCAATACAGCGTATTCATAATATTCAAGCAAAGTTAGGCGTCCTAGTACAGTGCAGGCTTTACCATCACAGTGTCAATGTACCAGGCCAGATCCTATGGACAGTGGTGAACTTAATTTTGTAATCAACATTTTGAACTTTCCACTTTCAGCTGATGTGAAAACGTGCTTGCCTTTTGAAAAGAAACAGCGACTATATGTGTTTTACGTATTTGTACTAGCAATTCTGAATGTAGCATTTGGCTAAATTCTGTAGAAGGAGGCAACGTATGTGTTAGTAACAATTTCAAGAGATCATAAATTTCGTTAAATAAGGCTGTCGAAATAAATAGCTACGAATAAGTAATTTTATATTGAAAATACAAGAATTAACACATTTTATGTACCATATTTGTAATAAATATGTTATTTTCGTTTACAAAAATTTCTTTAAAAAAAAATACTCTCCGTTTAGACTATTTCTAAGATTGTCTGTCTGTCTGTCACCAGACTGCGTATTAAGAACCGTATTAGCGAGATAATTGAAATTAAAAATGTATTTAGATTTAAAAAAAAATTAAAACACGGGTGAGTTGGACCGACATCCACAAATCATTTGTTTTTCTGGACCAATTGAGTTACCATGTAAAATCAAATACCTCCCATCTCGTAATTTTATTTCAATATAAATAAAGATTTAATTTATATAATGCCATCACGTACAGTTTTCAGAATTGAAATTAATACAAATTACATACGTTTTAATGTTGATACTATATGTTTATCTACTGTAGTTTAGTTATTATACGGAACCTTATATTTAGTTTGTACCACACACCATGTCTGTTTAATGCATGTAGTGCCTACCTTAAATAGGATATGCAGATAGCTATTTTATATTGTTAATACTATATTTTCATACTCTGTAATACCCGCTGGCGAGCCTTTTTTTAATAAATAAATAAACCTTTGCTTTTTGCCCGAGTACAACTCTCACTTGGCCAGTTTTAGTTTCTTGACTTTGTGCTGTCATATTTGCTTTTTTAACTTTGAGAATACCAAGAAATCTGGCCTTAGTGTTATATTATACTAGTAGCAATCTTCATCTATTTGGGCATTTTCAACGACGAGACAAAAAAACATACGAAACCATTTAAATAGTAATAACAATTACTAAAAGAAGTTTTTTACCGTAACACTTTATAACATAATTTCAACTTATTTTCTATAATCCACACCAACCACTATATACCATTTAGTTAGTCTGCTTACGCATGTAATTGACACATATACATTATGTATACTAGCTGGTGCCCGCGACTTCGTCTACTCAGGATTAGGATTACGTAGAATCGCGCATTAAAACTAAATGATGTCTTTTAAATAAAACACTTTAACTTCGGCTCGACGTTTCGGAAACGTCGGGCCGAAGTTAAAAATCATTTTCAAATAAGTATAACTAATATATCGCGTTTTAAGCCGTTAAAGTGTTTTATTTAAATGTGTACTACTCGCGTAAACTATAGACAGTATTTAAATGATGTCTACCATATCATACATTACATAATTATATGTAACTTACGTTTGTGGCAGCGCACGCCAGAATAGCTCGCAGAAAGGTAGGTTTTTTCTTCGTTACTTGACACTTAATGTCATATTTTGGACAGCTAACACAATACCTTTATAAATGGTAGCCTATGAGTTATTCTGATGTATAAGCTATATTATTGGAAAGTTTAATTGAAATCCATTCAGTAGTGTTTGCGTGAAAGAGTAACAAACATCCATCCACACATACAAACTTTCACGTTTATAATATTAGTAGGATAACAGTTTGTGCATCTTATGAGCACAAGTTTGTTTTTATTAGTTTTAATTTAATCTATTATTTATATGTATTTTCAAAACCTCATAAATCTTTCAATTGTAAAACCATAAAACATAACATTATAAAATGTTTATATTTAAACTGAGATATCTGTATTGTATATATACGGGTGGAGTATCTTAATAATATGGAGATTAATTCATGCAACAAAAAACTTTACTATGTTGACCTTTTGCCTTCTAAAATCAGGTGTTAACTTAAACATAATGTTTGAGTAATTATCTATTTGGATATCGTAACTTATAGAAATTGCGTAATGCTTAGTAATACTTAAGTCATAAGTTAGGCTGATCGAAGTTTTTTAGATATAGGCATAGTTTTAACAAGCCTGTTAGTTTGTTTATGCTTTGTTGTCTTTTGATAGCTTTGTTTATCTTAATTATGTACAAAAGTCCTAACTCTTGTACGAACACGATAATATAGCTTTAAGCTTCAATAATAGTTCCTTAATATAAATACTGCAAAAATTAAGACAAGGCATCTTTTTATACTTCAACGTATATTATCTATACAAAATGTATAAAATAACAATAAAAAATGTACAAATATGGCAGTGGGCATCGAGTGAGTAGCGGATGCCGCGCTACGAGTAGGCAATAGCATACATCCTGCTATACCCAGGGCTTATCTCCTGGAGGGGCTTTTGGGGATAGAGTCTCCCTTGGCGTGGAATCCGGTTTCGTCAGCGTAGTACTCGATAGTTTCGGGTTTGCCTTCAGAGTTGATGTAGGAGAAGGATCCACGAACAACGATGACTTGGTGGGGCTTGTTCTCCTCGTCGAAGGCTTCCTTCAGCTCTCCAGTTTCAACGCGGGTTGAGCCATCGTCGGTCTCGAAGCTGAAATAATTGGTATTAATATGTAGAATAAAAATTATATGTATAATTTTAAAGATAGTGAAAAACTTAACAGTGGCACAGTAGAAAATCAGCCCGTTTATTCCTAATTTAAATATGTATATTTAAAAATAGTATTGAGCTTAAAGTTATGGTCACGGGAAGACTGGCTGCTGCAAAGCATCCAAAACGTCGGGCCGTTAAAAATAATTTTCGGACAAGCTTAACTAATTTTAGTTACACCGTCAAAAAGTGTTTTATTTCAATGTGTACTACACGCGTAAATTACAGACAGAATTTGAGATTAAAGCCTTAAAACAAGCGGTTAACATATACACCTACAAATATAAGTATTATTGTGCATTAGTATGTAGCATTTAATATATAAAAATTTAGCATTAATAATTCCTCTTAATTCTTTGAGATATACAGATTTTTAGGTCTGTTTCACTGATCGAATTTATTTTCAGACACAATAGTAATTAATAGACATTCTTTTTTATGAAAAAGGAGCAAAATCAAAGATGTATTTACTTGAATTCATATTGTCCCTCGGGTTGTTGGTTGAATTCAGAGCGGACGATTTTTGGGGGTTCCTTCTCTCCCACGGGAACGGCAGTAGCAATAGCTACGAAGGCGAGGGCGACAATTATCTAAAATATAATAAAGATATTATTATTCATAAGAAAACAAATGATATCAAAGTATTACATTTGGATAATAAAAACCAATTCTTACCAATTTCATGGTTAATTGATTTGGATTCTTTGCTACCTGGTGAGCGACTGATGCCGAATGGACCGGAGTGCTATCTTTTATACATTTCTCCCGGCTTCTTCAGCTAATGTCAAACGGCAGTAAACAAACGTCACTGTTCCGGCTCCCAGGATGCCTACTCTCGTCTACGGCTGTGTATCTTCAGAACTCTGCACGACCAAGTATGTGCGACACGCAATCGCTTGAGTGATTCGAAGGTTTTTATTGCTTGTTTATTTAACAATTTGTCACCAAATTCGTAATATCGTCTTCATCGGATAGGTGTGTTATACCGGGTCAAGGTACTAAAGGCATTTTTAGATTGTTTCTCCATTAACTTTTAGTTATTCGTCATTTTATTTCAATATTAAACTCGGTCCTTTTTATTACTTAATTTAATGTACACACATTCATAGTTGGATAATGAAGTATTTTTGTTTTAGACAAATGTTTATGTTTTTGAATGAAATAAAGCTCTTTCATACTTAATTATAAAGTAACATCGAATTACTTCCAAGAATAAGTTATCTTTATGTAGGTAGCATAGTCCCTAAAAACTAGGTCCCTGAGCAAACGTTGTGATGGTCCAAAATTAATTATTTTATATAAAAATAACTTAATTATTGTTGGTATATGAGAATTAAATAGTTGCAGTGTAGTTATGAGGCATAGAGTACTATGAAAATGGGACAATAATAAAATAAGAAAAAGTTAAAATTATTAATTATTTAAATAAAATGTAGAGTGGAATGTAATTAGTGACAAAAAAATTTTACTTCGGTGGTGACAGCCGTTTCTTAGAGGTACTGAATATGCAATATATTTTTATTATTATTAGCAGTTATTTTCAAGTGTATGTACTGAAATTGTAACTCGAATATGTTGAATACTAGAGGTTATAGTTGTTGTCATTTGCTCTATTTTCAGACTTTTTTAACGTTAGGGGAATTTTCAGACGTTTTTAAAGTTAAGCTTGGGGTTTTCTACATGTTAGGTGAAATACCAGACATATAACATCTAAATCAGATGCGATGTCGACCTTTTTGTTGGATATTCGGAAATTACAGCTTTTACGTGACGGTGATTTAAAGCCCGGACAGAATTCGTTATTCCTACGTCCAATATCCAGATTTCTAGACGAAATTTATTAGAAACGTGATGGACCCGGTAGGGGATCGAACCCACGACCCATATCTTTAGATCAAAGATCCCGCCTAGCAGAAATGTGTCTGTAGTAATCATTTAATGATATTTTACAGCTTTTTAATGTTTTTTTGTCGGAGAATAGACAAAACTACTTGACAAATAAACTACAAGTATGTATAAATGCAATATTTTTATTGGAATGCGTAAATTACATAATGGCTTAATAAACGTTAAGCGTCCAAGATGTGACATAGGAATTTTCTTCAGAACGCAGTTGATGGCTATGGTAATATTGCCTGTTATAAATAATCAAAACATTCAAAGGTTGTAATAAAAAGGGGAAGACGATCAGGTATGTTTACGAGGGCCAATGCTAATTCATCAAAATACAAGTTTTATAGGTCATATTACCTACTCATCAGGTATAAACCCGTGACCCGAATGACCCGATAGATATAAAATATTAACGTATTTAATAATCGCCGAACATATCTCTCTATGTTCGTTCGAACCTGTTTTTTTATCAGAATATAATAAAGACGATGACAATAAAAACTGGTGACTAAAATTAATTAATTAAAATCTCTGATGAGAACACTTTCAGAGAAAACTCCCCTTTCCCCGGTTTAAAATTTAAAAAAAGTTTGGGGGTTAAAAAAAGAAAACAAAGGACAGAACAGTAAAGGGTTCATTAAGCCCTCTCCTTGGCTCAATAGTTAACATCTAGTGCGGGTTCGAACCTCTTTAAAATAAATTAGTTCACCAGGTCAAAAATGGTTACAAAACAGACACAAAAATGTGTTTGCGATTAGCAAGTATCAGCGCTATTGACTGCAAGTCGTCTAATTACCATTTAATATTTTACGTAAATCATATTGCAAAGAGGTAAATGTTATCACGTCGATGACTGCCTTAACTCATGACATTTATGATGACAAAATATTTTCGTCAAATATATCTATCACGCATGTTGTAAAGGTGGTATTGTGCGTGCAAGTACTATTTCAAAATATAATTTTATAAATTATATAATATTTATTATATACCTGTTTTAATATTTTGTTGATTACTTTAGAGTAGGTACTTCTATTTTCTAAGTTCATATTTTAGTCAAAGCTTAAAAGAGATCATCTTTTAATAAAGGAAAACCATATTAACATTAACTATCAAAAGCCGAGCTGAATCACATATTATGTCTATTTTTTATAACAGTATAAAAAAAGCTATTTTTCTGGATTTCGTATCGAAATTAAATTAATAATATGAGTAATCTGTAAAGGTCAAACGTCAAAATAGCTAAAACCATCTTGCTATAAAATTTAATGTAAAAAGAACACATGAAAAAACAAAAAAGAAATGAACCCAACTTCGATTCCACCTGTAAGGACAAACTGAGATTTTTGGAATGGTTGATTTTTTTTGCACATCGTAGTACAGATAGGTATTTTGCATGCATCTTCGTTTTAAATTGATATTATGCGCGCGCGCATGTATTTTAATTATTATTAGAGTTTAGAAATCGAAAATAAATTGAAAAAAATTTTGACTCGGGCAGGACTTGAACCGGCATCGTCAGCGTTCCGTGCAGAGCAACAGCACGGAAACGATTCGATTTCGATTTTTAAATTATATACTGCCTTCATGTGCGATAACATGTGAAAAATATTAATGTTTTCAAATATTATTAGAGTATTTAGTACTTTATTCAAACTGAAATAAAGCTAATACTATTTTCTAACTAACAAATTGTTTAGTATAACAGATACAGTGCAGTGGGAACATTTCGTTAAACGAAAAAAGGCGGGTTAAATCCTTGAAATAAATAACAGTTTGTGTCAAAGTCTCTCTAATCCTACCTAAATAATAAAAAGCCGAAAAAATGCAAGAATCCTAACCAATGATAAAATAAGATATACATAGATATGTTGATTTAAGGTATTTTTTGTAATCGTACGTCAAATATTTATTAATCTACAAAACTAAGAAATAGCGAATTAAAATAAACAGTAACATAATTCGTCTCTGGACAAACGATGTGCTCTTAACCTTTGAAAAGGACGGATCCGATTTATATGTGAAATTTTTGTTCAAGGTTGATTGCTAATACCTTCACACAGCACACCGCATTATACGTACATTAAAGATGGCTGATTCGTGAATAACGAATACTCACTGAACATATCTAACTACTTAATTACCTAAGAATTAGTCTATTTGCCATGTTAAATACTTTTATAAAAGAGGAGAACAGACAAGTATGGAGGTTGCAAGACGCGTTGTCGTCTTTGCTGAAACCAAAACACGATTAAACTTCACGGCTTTATTTGTGGATAGTGCTTCGTGACCCAGGTTGAAACTTTTGCTATACTTTAACCAAAAAGAAACATATACTATACTAGCTGTGCCGGCGACTTCGTCCACGTGGAATAGTGACTTGGGATAGAATTTTTAATTATTTAGGCTGTTTATTAATTCATGTAATTGCGCATTTATCGCAGCCAATCTGTGTTGTAAGTGCTACTTTGCACCTCACCTCACGTCACCCCTACTCTAACTCCCACTATCTCTCTTACTCCTATTCCCAAAAAGCCAATGAAGACAGTTTCATTGTTCTAGCTTCAAAATGCACGAATTTCTATACAAAATTTCAACCCCCCTTTTAACTCCTTACAACCCCCTTTTCGCAATAAAAAGTAGCCTATGTCCTTTCTCAGGGTCTAGACCATCTGTGCACCTAAATTTCATTCAAATCCGTTTAGTAGTTTTGGCGTGGAAGTGTAACAGACAAACAAACAGACAGAGTTACTTTCGCATTTATAATATTAGTAAGGATTAAAATATAGCGCTTTAAATAAACTGTATCGACATAAAGAGTTATTGACCTAGTCCATATTAAATTATGTGGAAGCCATTATTTATTCTAATGATACAAATCACGTCTATTAATAGCTGCGTATTGCAAATTTTATTCGTCGGAACAAAGAATTGTAATATACCAATTACAAATCAATGCGAGGCGACCACATTTCTGTGCCAAAGTCGACCAGTGAAAGATTTTTATTTATAACCAAGTTGATCATTCTGGGCCCTATTTCACGGCATAGGCTGATAGAAATAGTTGTTACTACGAAATCATTGATGAAATTAGGTAATATATCTATCGACGTATCTCCCAAAATAGATATGAATTTTATAAAGATTGTGTGTAAGAGGAGAGAGACTGAGAGAGAGTTTGTGTGTGGACTTGAGAATAAGATGTGTAACCCACTCTTATTAATTGATAATCCCTCGAATCTCGAAATTACGAATCAAGAATTGCCAAGGATGGTAGATCAAAAAAACTTATAGTAAAAACAGCATAAAACCTGTATTTTAAAAGTATACGAAGTTTAATAGACAAGGAAAACAAATGATAAAAATAATTTTTACTTTTTCTCTTCCGACCGGTCCGCATTATGTTAGTAAATTAACATATTATATATTTTGTGTAATAGTATTCTCATTGTTAAATAATGTGTGTAAGTTAACACATTACGAACTTTTAGGAAGTATAAATGATTTTTATATTACTTAATGTAAAAAAAACTATAATACAATATTGTAGATATGAATAAAAAAAAACGTTTTTGTCGAAAAGGAGTGAGAGTTAAGTATTTTTGTTGTATACTGTCTGTAGTTTACGCGAGTAGTACACATATAAATAAAACACTTTAACGGTTTAAAACGCGATATACATTAGTCAAACTTATTTATAAATATTTTAACTACGGTCTCCCCGTGACCACGGCTGCTGCAAAGCTTCCGAAACGTCGGGCCGTAATTTATAATTTTCAAATAAGTCAACTAATATGTATCGTGTTTTTTTAATTGTAGGTGATGAAAAAGCGAACAATATCAATCTGAACACATTTTATTAAAAGAAGAAATTAAATTATTAAACATTCACACTAGCTAATTAGTCTTAGAACTATCACCATGTAAGTCTCATAACATGGTCGGTCTTCCTTTTAGACGTCTTGATGAAGCCAAGGAACTGCAATTCAGCGACTGCTCGCGTAAACCGAACTCTAAAGGAAAAAAACATAACAACAGTTAGTTAAAAAGAAACACGATACACAATGTATTGTAGACTTCTGATACTTAAAACTTTAATTTAGTAATCGGTAGTTAACGCAAGTAGTACACATTTAACTAAAACACTTAACGGTTTAAAACACGAAATATTAGTTAACGTATTTTTATTTTAACTACGACTACGGTCAGCAGCAGTCGCGAGGAGATCGGGGAGTAATCTTTTTCGCGTTTACGTTAGACGTGTTTATTTAAAACAGATTCAAATAATATATTATTCGAGACTGAATGAATTACTTTTTAATAAATTAAAATTATATTTCGATTGAGAAAAAATAAAAAGTTTAATTTCATCTTAATATTCAAATTGTTACAATATTCAAAATTATACTTTTATAAGGCGATTTATATGCATATTTATATCAATTAGATATAATGTCAAGAAAACAATGTAGTTGAAATAACCTGATTAATAATACAAATAACCTTTACTTTAATCATAATCATAGCTAAAAAAAGCTACGAACAAAAAATGCAGCTCGGAATTACGACAAAACGATGTAATATGACCATATGAACGACCTAGAAGGCCTTGAACCGCGACCTTTCATAGGAGGAGACTGAATATATTAAATTAAAAAAGAACTCATCCAATAGTAAAAGTAATTAACACGAGTGTAAAAAACTTGTTTATATAAAACGCCTTTAATGGTTTAAAACGCGAAATGTATTAACCTATTTACAATTTCTTTTAACTACCAAGGATATGCTTTGTAGCAGTCGTGGTCACCTGGGGACTTTTACCGGTTTAAAACGTAATATTTACCCCCGATCGACCCGTGATATCGATGCTGCACACCGTCCGAACTAATATAGAGTAATATTAAAAATCAAGTAATTAATTTTTAACATTTCGCCTTTAAAACCGTTTAAAGTGTTTTATTTAATTGTCTACTACTCGCGTAAGCTACAGACAATACTTATTAACGGGTTTGTTTATAATTTGTGTAGGTATTTTCTATTTAAAATTAAAAAATCGATTTTATTGTCGTAAATATTATATAGTCTAAGGCTTGATTTTTTTTCGTTTTCGTACGTATGTTGAATAGGTATACTTTTCCCCTTTCTAGTAACGTATACTTGTACTTCCCCCACTCTTTACCTACTTTAGCTAACAGGGGGAGGGAATCCTGATAGCTAAAGTAAACAAGCCCTACAAGTCATCCGGATCTTTGGGGGATAGTCTATATTATGTTTCTTACATAAGCTAGATTTAGCCATGAAAAAATTGTAAGTATTTATTCAAGTCTGACTTTTATTTACCCACCTTAGCTAACGTTCATTTACATAACCACACATAAGTCTAGCAATAAATTATGCTTATGTTTTTCAACTACAAAGCACTGGTCAATGATTAAACAGTATTTCATAGTTATTGATTTCGCAACCGTCAAATACTAAATCTCATGGTCAATTTACATTACATACGTGGATTTCAAAATGTTTCTTAAATAGGTAAATAAAAAATAATTTTTAAATAAAACACTTTAACGGTTTAAAACGCGATATATTAGTTAAACTTATTTAAAAATGATTTTTAATTACGGCACGATGCTTCGGATGCTTTGAAGCAGCCGTGGTCACGGCGGGACTGAAGATGGATAATATCCCTAATGTCTAAATCAAAGCTGCTACGCTAGCGCCATCTGTTTTGTTGTAGTTGGTTATTTGGAGAAGTGAATTCTTTGAGCAATGGAAAAGCTAACATCTCTAAGGATGCCGTCTACTCGTGATGGCGATACGTCGAGAACCTCTTCTCGCTCACGTCGGTTGAAAAGTCCGAAAGACAATGGAATCAATACTTAATTGGTCTACTTTTAATATCTAATGCACGTAAAACCGCGTGGGAATAGTAAGAAATTTAATAAACTTACTGTATCATCGGGTCGTGGGCGCGGTTTTCCTCCTCCTCCGTGGGGCAAAGCACCGCGGCGAAGGCCTGAAGCCAGTCGTACAAGTTGATGTGCTTGCCGCATTCCCGATGCAGCTTGTACGCTAGACTCACGTCTGGTAAAGTCTCGGATACACTCTCCGCCGATGAAAGGTTGCAACACTGACACTAAAATGAAAAACATTTTTAACATTTGAAAAAATATATATTTTTCACATGTTATTATGCACATGATTGCACAATATAATTTAAAAATCGAAAATAAGTTTAAAAAAATCGACTGAGGCAGGACTTGAACCGGCGTCAGCGTTCCGTGCTCTACCAAATGACTTAACGTAGCCCAATTGGTAGAGCAACAGCATGCAACGCTGACGATGCAGAAGTCCTGCCCGAGTCGAACATTTTTTCAATTTGTTTTCGCTTTTTAATTATATTTTTAACAGTTATTTAATACCACAGTTGGAAAAACATCCCATACTACATGGGCCCGAGTGTGCTGTTTCTGTATCTATTCGTTTAAGTCCAAATTGCCGGCTAAAAGCGTTATAGATGACACGTGTTTTTAATTTTTTTGAACCCATTTATTATCGATGAAAATGTGGTTTCGAATAGCCATATCATAATTTCTGTATCGAAATTCATACCGGAACAATGCGTGAGATAACCAACTTTTCAAATATATTTCGTCTGGTGATTTGGTACACCGTTTGGTAGGTCCTAAGACAAGCTCGGAAACTATACTATTCTATCCGTATGATTGTTTATATTATTCGTTATATTTTCAATCACCACCAACAGAGAGTACATGTCTGTGTGTACATAAAGATGATGAAATACTGTCTATAGTTTATTCGAGTAGTACACATTTAAATAAAACACTTTAACGGTTTAAAACGCGATATCTCCCCGTAACCACGGCTGCTGTAAAGCATTCGAAACGTCGGGCCGAAGTAAAAAATCATTTTCAAATGAGTTTAACTAATATATTGCGTTTTAAACCGTTAAAGTGTTCTATTTAAATAAAGATGATGATTGTTGTACTTAGGACCTAACTTGCGGGGCCATTATAGAAACGAAATTGTTATTTTTATTTTTGTTAACTTTCTTTTGAAATCAATATTATATTATGAAAAAAATGGCCTTAATACCTAAAAAAAATTTTAAGTATTATGGTGACATCAATATACTCGTAATATATCATAGTTAATAAAGATATTTTGTAAGACTTTATTTTCTATGTTTGTTTTAAAGTCAGTAGAAATTTAGGATCTTATTATCTATTTATATTGGGATTACTGTCAGGACTTGCAATTGAAAAATTAATTAAATAAATAAATAATATATACCTGCAAATAGCACTGAGGGTTACTTAGAGCCACATGAAGTGCACCCCTGGGGGCGCCAATAATCTGTTTCTTAACATTCGACACTTCTGTGAAGAACAGTATCTCGTGGAATGTCTGCGTGTGCGGCGGAAGTAAGCCTCGGCCGAACATTTCTTCTAGATAGATCACGAATCTAGATCTAACCATTTCGAACTCTGATTGAATTTTATCTACCCTGGTTGCTTTGAGTAACTTCTGCAAAAATGAAACGTGTATAAAATTAATAATTATAATCAGGTATTTTCAACATATATAAATGACCAATTTAATATTAAAATTACTTTTGAGTAGTTTGCAGTTAGTAATGTGTCAGTAATTTTCTTTAATATAAAAAATATGCTTACACAACCTTATTGGTTATAAATTGCATAGTTTCTTAGCGTGATAGAGTTCGAATCTCGGGAAAACATCATACAACTAGTTGATACTAGTTTTATACGATACTATAACAAGTATTAGAGGACTAAGTAATACATTACTATTCTTACCTCTTTTAATTTATATCGGTTACCAGACTTGAGATCCACGTTTTCCATATCATCGTCATCCTCCATATCTTTTCCATTTAAATCTGCATCAGTATTCGCTTTTTCTATTTGCCTCAAGAATGTCATGAGATATATTTTTATACCCTTAACGAAATCCTCAGCTGTGTCACTGTTTAGACTAATATTATTCAAGTTATTTTTCATGGGAGTGGTTCGCAAAGGTTTCACTGGGGTAGTTATTTGTAAACTGCTGTTCACAATTTTCAAAGCGTTTTGAATGCTCTCCACTAATTTTACTTGTGACTGGAACTTTAGGAACTGCATGCATTCTTTGAAGCCGTCTGTCTTTACTATATTATCTGTGGCACATTTTGCGTATATTTCTCGCAACTAGAAATTGAGAGTAGTGTCAGTGTGGATGAAAAACAATAGCAACAGGTGATTAGAAAAAATAGGTGTTGGTGAACTTCGTGGACATATTAACAACTCAAATTAAATGTTAGGGTTCGACAATCCTTATCACTATTGGATATAGAAAATAGTAAATTCTTAAACCTACTGAATATTTATAATTAGCCGTTTCAAGGAGTTTTAGAGATGAAAAATGACTTTAAAATTTACAAGTAAAAATCATATGGTAATTCGTGGTTTTTGAAGATAGAACAATGAAACTTTCTTCTTTGGCTTTTTGGAAATAGGAGTGGCGTGGGAGTGGGAGTGAGTGTAGGAATGAGAGTTGGAGTTAGAGTAGGAGTGATGTCAGGTGAGAGTGTTACGGCAAAGTAGCACTTACCATAAATTGGCTGCCTTAAATGCGCTCTTACATAAATTAATAAACACCCTCAATAATTACAAATTCTACCCCAAGTCACAGTATTCAACGCGGACGAAGTCGCGGGCACAGCTAGTTACAAATATACCAACTTTAAAGTGCAACTCACCGACTTTCCCATTATGTTCTTAGGAATATCTCTTATAAATACACAGAGTAGTTTCACGGAGAGGTAAAAACTATAAAGGTACTCATGTAGTTTATGCAGTTCTTTTTGTAGAATTTCCCTAAAAAAGTTATCATCTTCAAACAGGCCTATCTTCGTTTCGCAATCCTGCACCTCAAGGAATGGTCTAAATGACATAAGGCGTCTTATACTCTCCAAGTCTTCTGATGATAAGTTCATCACTTCAGCATCTATTTTATCTCTTTCACAACATAGAGTTTTCATATTATCTGCATAGTAGTGATCCATCATGCAATACTGAAAAATAGTGAATAATCAAATTATATTTTTGGTCTTTCGGTTGGGTATATTTGTGGCTCATAAAATGGGTAGTACAATTCCTGGGTTCTAATTCTGAGAGATAATATTTAGTTGTTCCGTTCCAAAAGTGGCCTTATTTGCTCTTCTGTATAACATGATTTTGTTAGTTAGTTTTTTGATACTGTATGATTTTTTAACATATTTCTTTTTATGAACCATTAAATATCCATTCATTTGAGTAATATATGGACACACTTACCTTAATACTTTGAATGATTCCGGTAACAGAAAAATCATAGAACAAAAACACATCGGTTAATAATTCCAACGCTTTGCCTGACAGGTGAAATGGGGCTGTGTGTGTCAGAAATATATTTTCCAATACCTAAAAAAAAAACTTTTTAGGTGTCCTAACAATCCCAAAAACAAAGTTTATACAGCAATGCTATAAATTATTATATACTTACTTGATTCATATAAATGTGAGATGGATGTGAATTAAATACTTTTATTAGGAGTTTTGAGGATACATGGTATGGGAAAGACTTATGCAATGCTGAAACTGATGTGGCCACTCCAAACACAAGAATAATAGGCAGTGTAGATACATATGAACTAAAAAGAAACAACACAAAACAAACATGAAAAAAAATATAAATATGATGGGCTGGATAAAAATTATTTAACTTAAAATAACAAATTAAAAACAATGTTATTCTATTTACGAAATTGAGTTAATAGAGAGTTGTCTCATTCCCACAATCTCTTATCTAGAACAACACATAACGGTCAATGAGTGTTATCTTTCTATTCCCTATTAACTCCGTTTAGTAATGACATAATAGCTACAGTCTAGACATACAAATATTCAGTTTTGTAAGACAGTATGATCCATAACATTAAGGTCTAGTGCAACAGGTCTAGCAATACTTTTTTTATTCAAATATGTATTAAATACAAGAAATATATTACCTTATTATCATAACAAAGTCCTGCAATATATTACAATTGAAGCTCTCAAAATCAGGAATGATGATAACTAGAGTCTGCCGTTTAGTATGCCTCTTTTTCTTTGGTGAACATTCATCGTTATATTTATTTGAATACCAATTTGACAATGTCTTCATAGTACACCTACTTTTCTTAAACTTTGGTTTAGACATTTCATCATAGCTTTCTTCAGATTCCTGAAAAACGAAAAAAATTATAATAAAAAAAAGCCTAGCACTCAAAAAACCATTTTTCTATTAATTCCCTCTTGTGAGGGATTACATTAAGCACATAGGGTGCTGGCTTTAACTACTGCAGATATACAATCAAGTGTATTAGTTAGAAATGGAGCGGAAATCCTGTATAATAAATACTAACATGGTTTTTATAAAATATTTGCAAATTCAAACAAACAAACATACAAACTTCAGCTTTGTAATATAAGTATAAATATAAATTATTATTATAAATAAATACCACTGAATTGTCACCGTTGATTAACTGCCACACTGTATTTTCAACTAAATGCTTGAGTGTTGAGGCATCTTGTGAATTCACCATAGCTACATGTGATGTAACTTCCTCTCTGAAAATATCAATAAAAAATGACCAGTTAGGTAAACATTAACTCAACTCTCTCTGCACAGGCAGATATAATAGGTACACATTATTTGACTAAATTTATTGAAATTTTTAGGAAACTTAAGAAGTCATTGAATAATAGGTATTACTGGTACAAAAGTACCTGTAGAAAAGGCAAAGAGAGTAAAAAAACATTGACCTATATTTTATATTTTAAAGATTCACACTAAAGTGTGAACCTTTCATCATTAAAGACCACTGCAAAGGAGGCATTTGAAATTTGTACAGCAGCAGGATATGGATAAGGTTCTTTTTATAAGACCAGAGAACCTAACAGGCAGAATGGACAAAAAAATGGCTTAATGACACATAACAATAAACATTATTATAAAACCACTTATTCACGAGATAATAGTTAATCATAACTACCTTATAAGCCCTATGAGGGATTTAAACTGATTTACATGGTCTGGTTGATTGACCCCAGTTAGTAATGTTGCACTAGGTATAATACCCTCTAGGTTATTCACTTCACTCTCTTGATAGGAACTTTTTAAATAGCAAATAATATCATTCAGTAACACACTGTATGTCTTTTCATGTAGTTCCTAAAATAAAACGCAATAATATGCATAAAAAAATCACTCATCAATACTATAGTAATGCTAGTAAGTAGTTCTTCGTTTGTCGTTTTATAAAAAAACTCAGTCCGGGACAACAATGTTTTACTACCTGAAGTTGTTCCTCAATAGAATCCCAATTCCTCTTAAAGATTTCATACCACCGTTCTTTCAAGAATATAGACTGTACCATTGTTTTACGAGGGTTCTTCTTCGCCCGCTTTAAATTGGTATATCCATTGGGAAACAGAAAAACACCCTAAAACGAAAATATATTTAAGTTCAAGAAATCTTAGGCACATGATTTCTGTTATAAGTAATAACTCGAAAAAATAATAATAACCTTCGACACCGATGTTGTAGATTCCATTTCTGACACGTTAATTTGCAGCAAAATAGTAATGTTATGTTTGATGTGGTAATGTTATTTATAACTCGTTACATAGAGTTACAATTTATAGAAGAGGTTTATTAAGACTTGAAACTCAAACTTTTAATTCGAGTGTTTAATAAAAAGTATTTATTATCATAGCAAAAAAGTTTATTATAAGTTAAGAATGTTTAGACTATAAAAATTAAAAACAAAATAAGATGAACCGTTTTAAAACGATGATCAAAAACTGCCAGCCACAGATACTCAAATGCATTAACATCTGACAGCTAACACTAAAGACTAAAAATATTTTGTTTACCATAGAAAAAAACGTGCTTAATTTTCTTGACAGATTATAATCATTCAAATTATTTACACAACTGAAAAAGGAAGAAGTTCATAATATATAATTTTTCAGCTAAATTTTGATAGTTATTTATAATTGTTTTTTTTTTGTTTTAATTATTTTTCGGTAGACACTAAAATTTTGTGACGAAATACGTTCTTCAAGTTTTTCAATTGAATTCTAAGTTGTAAGACTTAAATACCTTTTAAACATGGTCATGATAGACTCGGAGTCGAAGTGCAATAGACAAACAAAGTGACTTGGGTCAGTCTTTCTTTACTTTCTTTATTTGTTTACTTTTATGAATATGTCGTATTGAGTAATCTTATGTCTTATTTTAATACTTCACCTTAAACGGAAATTAATAATCAAAGAATTATAGGATCGTAGTTAGGTTGACACCAAAGGTTTTTAACAAAACATTTATTGTCTAATCAATACAACACCTTAAACTAACATTTATCAAATAATGCGCTTTTAATTTTTGCTAATTCTTCTATACAGTAACACGTCTTCTATTATATTACTTAAGTATTGTCGAACAGAAAACCCCACTTACATCATTACTACTTAACTATTTATACAAATCATTACGAAACAAACATTTTAGAAGTTTTATTTATTACTATTATCATCTATTATGTAACAATCGGTGATCATTTTAACACTTAAACATGCTCTTTCTTCATACTATAAACGAACGAATCTGCATTTTGATGTTTGGCTATCTGTGCCATTTCTTCTTTGCATTTCGTACCAATACAATGAGGTTACTATTGTTTTGACTGGTCATATTAGTTTACATATACTAGAAACTACGGAAACTGAATAAATATAAAAGAGAGAATTAATATCTTATTGGCGAAACTTTTTAATAGAAAAAGTAAATAAGCTAAGGCATTCGGTATATTTAATTCTACTGACTTTTAATAGTATTTAGAAGCGTCTTGTATTAATATATCTATAGAAGATTTCAATGCAATTGGTGTTGATAACTCTTTAACTATACATATACATATATGTACCTACATATATTCATCAATAAGTTTCCCTTCATTTCATTCATTAACGAAACAGTGTAAACATAGTATTATTAATAGGATTTTGGGGCTATAAATTTTACAATTGATTACCGTAATCTTCATAATTTACTCGTAAAATCTATGTATTACATTTATTGTCGAAGCGGGTCATTGTGCTGGTGAACGCGAAGGTAATGTAGCCTCGTCACAAGGTGAATGTCTTTCCTCTTCTGTATTGTATTTATACTCTCGTTCTGCGTTTTGATGATCTGAGCCCTGAGGCGTAGCTCGTTCGTCTTGGCTAGCGGTGTTGGCTTCAAGCGGCGCCCCAGAACTTCCGAAGGGCATGCCCTCTGTGGGGTAAGGTACGTCCCCTGTTCCGACGTACTCAGATGGCTGGTAACCGTAGCTGTTTAAACTAAAACAGATGTATCTATATTAATTCATAGGTCTACGCAGGTTTAAGACCTTTTAATTAAGTGCAACTGAACCAAACTATTTATTTCCTCATCATATATGCACATACAGTAACTATATTGTATAATACTTTACTTATAATAATAATAATTAGTTGAAAAAAAGCAGCCTTGTCGCCAAACATAAATATATAATATTAAAGCAAGTTCTTCTAGACAACCATAAAAAAACATTGTCACTTTGTTGTTTTACGCTGATATGTCCATTGTGCTAACAAATTTTGTTGATGTAAAAAATAAAAGGTCTCTAAAGACTACAATCAACGAAAGTGGCGTTTTCTTGTTCTGGAGGCCAAGGCCCACTATGGGTCGCTGCGCCAGCGGAGTAAGTAATAAAAATAAAAGAAATGAGTCTGTTCACAAAAGTTTAACTGTAGCTAGTAGGAACTTTATATCTGTTTAAGTAAAGCGAAGTTATTATTGGACAGAACCAACTGATCAAACTGCTTTAGTTATCAATTAACTACCTACTAACTCACCTATTGGGCCAGTAAGATATATCTTCAATAGCATGGTGTGCGTAAGGAGCATACGCATGTTGGTAATATGGAGAGTGATGTTGGCTCGTGGCGTCATATTGAAGGGGATAAAGCGGCGCGGGCGCTGCGGCAGGAGCCGATGTGCTGGTAGGAGGGGCAGAGTATTCTATTGGCGCTGGGTAAGCGTGTGGAGGTGTTCTGTACGGAACTGGTGACGTATTCGGTTGAGGAGAACTATTCCCCTGTGAACTCCAATAACTGCTACTACCAGCCCATGTATAACTACCACTGCTGTTTGCCGTGGCTACTGGTGACCTTTCAGCGTTACTGTATGTAGCTGGAAAAAAACAAATCTTTTAATGATCAAATACTGTCTATAGTTTACGCGAGTAGTACACATTTAAATAAAACACTTTAACGGTTTAAAACGCGATATATTAGTTAAACTTATTTGAAAATGATTTTTCAGTTTTTCGTCAGATTTGTCAGTCTCCCCGTGACCACGGCTGCTGCAAAGCATCCGAAAGTGGTCCGAAGTTAAAAATCATTTTCAAATAAGTTTAACTAATATATCGCGTTTTAAACCGTTAAAGTGTTTTATTTAAATCTTTTAATGATCGGTAAATTATTAAATACGGTCCAATTGTAACTGACTTCGTGATTCAAAAATTGAACTGGGGAGACGGTTAATATTAAATGTTAATTTATTTTGTTTTAATTAAATTGCATTCATTACATGTATGGGTTGAGTGAAGATAGCGTTTCCATTTTCTGATCACGCGATGGGGCTTTGTTATGATTTAACTTGCTTTGCACTCACCAGGTGGCGACAGTGTTCTAGGTCTTGACGGCGGTCGTGGTGGATAAGGTGCGGGTCTTCTAGATGCTGAATTTCCGCTTCCATAGAGAGGTTGTGACGTGACAAACCAACCTCCGACTGTAAATTAAGTTTTTTTATAAATAAAGACAGGAAAAATTTATGAAAGCTTTCGAAATTTATCTTAATTTCTCTTAGTATCGTAGTACGTGAATGTTTGTTAGCATTTCAATACCTAATATTATAAATGTATATATATGTTAATATAACTGATATTCTAAGAAACCACCACAGCTCCTTCATTTTAATCATTGTTGCGTATAAATCTCATATTCATTATAAACAAAATACTAACACTGTGGATACTGGTGTGGGGAAGAACTCTGTTGAGGATAATGGGTTCCAACGAAGTCCCTTTGATAATAACCCTCCGGCCTTTCCTTGGCATCCAGGAATGCTTTTGCAAACGGGTTGTACTTGATCTTAAGTGAGGTCACCTCTTCATTTTGATAAGCAGTCACAGCTATAAACTGCGTCTCCGGGAACGGGTAGGTCATAATCCGTCGAAGGTCTGTACCCACTTTGACTAGATGTACCCGTGGTTCATATTTATGAAGCGAATTTAACATTATCTGAAAAAAAAAGTACTCAATGAAAATCCACGTTATATACATAGGTACAAGGTTATAAACACAAATGATAAAGCAATAATAAAGAAATTTAAAGTATAAGATATAAGAAAGAGGTGGAAAAGCAGGCCATAAAATTACATCTATACTAATATTATACGGCTGAAGAGTTTGTTTGTTTGAACGCGCTAATCTCAGGAACTACTGGTTCGAATAAAGTCGTGGATCGAAAAAATCGGGGAGAATTATTCATATTTAAGGTTGCGTGCACTGCGAAAACGGTTTAAAATACCCAAAAAATCTATATGATAGAATGATTCCTCTCCTCTATCGTTTGAGATTAAATTGCAGAAATGACTGGACGCGAACAACGGCGTGGGTAACAGCATTTATAAAAATTAAGGAGGAGGTTGGCATATCAAATTTTGATACCCAAACTATTCTACGCGGACGAAGTCGCTGGCGCAGCTAGTTTATCGATTCACTTAATCAAATAAAATGTTTGTCCACTAGAACTGTTCACGCTGAATCATAATTGATATTAACTAAAGTAGAATACATTAACGGGATCAGTAAACATAGCGCTGAGACAATAATTATTACAAATGATAGTGCGTACGCGCACCCGCTAAATAGTTGGCAAAGCTACAGATTTCACACCGAGCTGTCAACATATGGATCTGGATACATCAGATGTTTGCTTTCAAATTCGATCGCACCATCCGACCGTGAGAAATGAATACCGAGCAGCGGTAGCAACGAAACTGTAGCACCTTCGACTGGCTTTCTAATGTCTTAAATTAGTATTCTGACTGTTCTGTTTACTGTTAATTATGCTTCATCTAATGAGATCCAAACTCCGCGCGAGACGAATAAAGCAAAGTAAATACGAGTAAATTAAATGCGGTTCGAAAAGATATAGATTCCCACAAAAAATTTCAAGTACTTATATCGATGAAAATAGATATATAAAGAATTGAGTAATTTGGGAAAAGAATAAGCTACTTAGCTTGTGCATTACATGTGCTATTTTCAGTGGCTTAAATGGATTTACCAGAAACAGACAATAAAAATAACATAGATATTCGGACAATTCCAATTGTTGTTACTATGTATTAATAACAATGATTCCAACAGTAAGAAAGATTTACCATGATTGAAGGTAAATACATAATATATAAATAATAAAAAATTACAAAGGCGATGGTTACTCAATAAACAACAGACATGTTAACATATGAAGAGATACAACATGCTGTCTGTAGTTTACTCGAGTAGTACACATTTAAATAAAACACTAACGGTTTAAAACGCATATAGATTAGTTAAACTTGTTTGAAAATTATTTTAACTACGGCCCGACGTTTTAGATGCATTGCAGCAGCCGTACTCACGGGGAGACTAAAGATGGAGGGTGTCTCTGACGTCAAAGAAAAAAAACTGCTACGCTAGCGTCATCTGTATTGAAATAGATACAACATAGAAAGGAAGTTTAGACAAAGCTCGATATCTAGAGACACTAAGAGTCGGTGAAAAACTTACCTGCCCATTTCCATTTGTTTTATTTGTAAGTTTGACTTTCGCGAAGGATATCGGTTCTTTCATCCAGTGTGCGCCAAAATTGGGACTTTCCGGGTGGATGTATATTGCATTAGATGGTGGTACTTCGGCTTTTCCACCTGGCACCTGAGAGGTATTATTGCGTAAGATTTATGAGAATATGAATTAGTTATTGGGCTATATTTCGTGAGTTTTTTTTTAACTTTTTATCTACTCAGAGGTAAATGTACGACCGCGTTACGTAACGCATTATAGCGCTAGTCTGACTTCAAATTTAAGTATTTTTTATTTCTGTGGGGCATCACAATACGCTAAGGATGACTAATAATGAAAAATAAAAAAATATCTTTTTTTATTTTTCTTATTATTAATACTTAGGAAGCTCGAAGCTAAGCCAAAACGTAATAGGCAAATCAGTTAATAGTATAGATTATTAAAAAAAATATTTATATAAAGAATACTTAAGTTTGTGTTATGTTATACACAAACATAATAAAGCCCTTTCTAGTATATGTATAACATTGAACAAATATTTTTCGCGTTTTAAACCTTTTAAACAGTGTATGTAATACTTGAACTTAGCTTTTCGTAAATACATCACGAATACCATGAGAATTATGAAAATTGTCTTACCCATTCACCGTTTACGTATTTCCAACGATGGCTATCGACTTGCACAAACTCGAGTAGAACGGTATACATGGCCGTCGGGTCCAGCCCACTGGCTGTTACCTTTACTACGGGAAACATTCGTCTGAAACAAAAGAGAAATTAAATGTTAGAACCGCATAAACACACGAGTACGCGCTATGAAGGTTTTATTTAACGACCGCGTACATTATCCTGGTTTGTTTTGAGTATATATTTTGTAACGGATCACTAGTTTCTGTGTAACACTAAGATTTTATTTGCATACTAGCTTTGCCTGCGGCTTCGTCCGCGTAGAGTAGTTATATTGGGCATCAACATTTGTTTTTGCTAACCTCCTCATCATTTTCAATTATAGCTATTGCCTACAACGTTGATCGTATCCTGTCGGTCTTGCAAGTTAACCTTAAAAGATAGACATATACTGTCGGGGGCATTTTTAGATCATTTAAAGAGGAATCATTCTTTGATACAGATTTTTTGGGTATGGTAATATTATATGAACCGTTTTCTAACCAACAAACAAATTGTTTAGCTTTATAATATTAATTTTTTTATCTTATCTTATCCAGACCGGGTCCAAGGTGTTTTTAATCTATTTATAATTATTTTTGACTTCGTATGGAAATTCGATTATTTAATGGGTGGTAAGAAGATGAATAATTCCGCCCGATTGATGAAACTTAAAACAGTCATGAAATATAATCGCCCGTGGATTACCGATTATCACAAGTCAAAAAGTACTATATTAAGTCTCACTATCTTAAACCCATTATAAAAAATATTACTTAAGAATTAAAATTGAATAAAGGAAACATTGTTACAACTTACGTTAAAAAAGCAAACACAAAAACTTGTCCATAATTAAATAGCACACTTTAACTGTAAGGACCCGGCCAGTTTCGCCAAATACCAACTTCGACGGAACAGATGGCGCTAGCGTAGCAATTTTTTACTTTGGCGTCAGAGATATCCTCCATCTTTGGTCTCCCCGTGACAACGTCTGCTGCAAAGCATCCGAAATGTCGGGCCGAAGTTAAAAATCATTTTCAAATAAGTTTAACTACTATATCGCTTTTAAACCGTTAAAGTGTTTTATTTAAATGTGTACTACTCGCGTAATTATAGACAGTATTAGTCCATAATTATTAATGTATTTTCTCTTTTGTCATTTTATCTGTGTTAAGGTACGATACAAACACTAAGCCCAAATAACTACCACGACATAATAACATAGATCGGTATTTGCCTATGCTATATACTCCTCAGTAGGATATCAGATTAAGATTTGAACGTTGTCAAATTTCTTCGTCAATTTGAAAATTTGTGAAATCAATGTGTTTCTTATTACGAACTGAGCCCTCTACTGAACTTTAGTATGTAAAAAACGGAACTGAATCTTTGTTACCATTGCTTGAAAGTTATTAGATCAAGAAGCATTAATATTATGCCCTATAGATGTATCCAAAGCAAGTTACAGAGGGTTGAAGCGTCATAGCTCTGCAGAATCGTTTAGATGCCCTGCGTTAATAAGCAAGACCTACAGTGTTAATAGCTGAAAACTAGCCGCCCCTCAGCAACCAGTTAGCACTTGCAAATGTGCACTGATCACGCCCTGAACATACATACAGGTTGAAACTAATTTCTGCATGTTACTATGTTGTCCCATACCTATATTGTACGTTGATATGACATTACCTATTGCGAAAGTAACGTAAGTTCGCATTTGAATAAAATACTTTAATGGTTTAAAACGTCAAATTTATAAATTATTATAACTACGGCCCTACGTTTTGTTTTACAATTATTTGTGGTAACTTTTATAGAAAAAGTCACCCGTGACCACGGCTATTGCAAAAATTCCGAAACGTCGGGCTAAAGCTAAAATAAATGATAAATAAGTTTAACTTTAGCCATTTCGCGTTTTAAACCGAAAAGTGGTTTTTTTTAAAAATTTTTTAAAAAAGTTTACAAATTTTTTTTAAAAATAACCCATTTTGCGTTAGAAACCATTAAATGCGTTTTATTTAAATGATATTACAGTTTCTCAATTACGACTTGACTGAGCTGCCGAGTCAAATTTCCATTATATTTAGCGGGCCTTAGAATTTGATATTTATAGTCTCGTTAACTTTAAACGTGTATTAATATCTTGCGCTCTAATGTATTTATTTCATTTCCGAGTGTATTTTTCTCATGGAAACATTTGTTGTTCGCTTGTGTTTTAGTTTGAGTCCACCCCCCCCCCACCCCCCCCCCCCGGGGGGGGGGGGCAAAAACATTTCCCCAAAGTTAAAAAAAAAGGCCCACAGTTGTTAAGTCAATTTAATATTCTTTTTCATTAAACAAAATTAAGCACGATTGAGGCGGGTGGCTGTTTTATTTTAATTATAAATTCAACAAAGTTGATTTGTCTATAACCATTCAGATGAGTTTAAGTGCACTATAATAATGTTCGACCATAAACTATATTGCCATAGAATGCATTGTATATTTCGTTTGCATCATTGTTGTACGGAGTTTCGAATGAATTAGCATTGTACGTTAATAAGGAATCCTCAACATACTTTAAATTAAGTTGGGGATATGTTATTAAATATACGTTATCTAATCTAAAGTCTGAAGAGTTTGTTTGACCACGCTAATCTCAGGAATTTTTCGAATTGAAAAATGTTAGTTCGTGTTGTTACATTAAAAAAAACAATGCTACTAACCTGCCATTTTTCGTCACGATCATTTCATTGGTTAGAGTTTGAAATCGAACCCACAATTCGCGGTCATCAAGCGCGACGTTAACTTCCCGTTCGCGGCCACCACGAGAACTGCCACCACCAACTGTTGGTTCCACCGCACTAAGGATATGTGACGCTGCCATATCTGCAACAATTTGAATATTATGAGACTTATTGTTCTAGAAATACCGCATTACTTTACCTTAACTTTGTTGGAACTGTGGCTTTCATAATTTACCTTGCCATATGTATGTTTGAACATGTCATCGTAGTTGGTTCTATGCCAATTTCCCTAAAACGTTTTTCCACAGAAAACACGTGGCAAAATGTACTAAAAGTTATTGATTTCGGTTAATTAAATCTTGCGAGTTGAACCGGCAATTAAACAATCTACCGCACAAATGGAAGCCGAGTGTATACACTCGACCAAAACTTCTTCAGTTTTGATTTCATCTCATATAACTAATTTATAAGCAAAAGCCACTTTTAGTTTAATATAAGTATCTTTTTATTCCACAATCTACAACGATTTACTTCTATCTTATACACAAAAATGCTATTCCTATTACCTATTGGAAAATATATAGAAAGTAGATATAGTCAGTCACCGCCTTATTTTCTTTTATTTTTATTAGAAGTTTCTCCTAATAAATATATTCAAAATATAGTAACGCTTTCTAAACTGGCCAAAAAAGTTAAAGATCTCATTATACTTAAACTGATACAGTTTGGAAAAGTAGGTATGTATGTAATTCCTTCATTAATATTTTTGTAATCTCGAAATTGTTTATTTTCCAAGAATTTTTAACACAAACTTTTATTATTGATTCATACGTAAGATAAAGAGATACGTTTTTTATATTTATTAATAATTTGTCGACAATTGATTAATCCAGGAGTCAACGCTACGATCCGGTGCCTATACTTGTGTTACGCGAGACAGTCTGGGTTTGAATCCCCGGGCAACAAAGTTTGAGTAAAGTCTTTATTACAAAATAAATCGTTTACAGCCAAAAATTATTATGCTAGTATGTAAAGAAAATCGAACCGTGAATTGAATCTCTATGTGCGGACATAGAATTGTGTCTATTGAGTCAACGGCATTTCACTTTGATATCGAGTCTAAATTAAATTTAGTAGGATAGGTATAGCTTTCAGAAAATAGGTATAGCTGACCCGAACATTTATTGTAACTCGCCGCACGATCTTTTCCAAGTGTTTATTGTTCTCATTATCGTTGGCTGACTGTATAGTTCAATGTCCTGGGATTCTTACCCACTTGTTTAAAACACTTTACGGGTTAAGTTTAAATTAATTAATATATTTAACTTTTATATTTATAAGTGAAGTTTACTTGATAGAAGTCGAAAATGACCCAACCTACATCTAAGTAAGATGCAATACCTGTTTTGGTGTTAGACATTCGAAATTTGAAAACGCTTAAGTAATTTTAATAAAACTTAGTATATGGCAATATAGGACGAAAGAAATGTAATTCTCCGCTTTGAAAGTATAAGAAAACCATTGTTCCGTAAAACGAAATCATAATGAGATGCTAAAATTTTTATTGATCAGCAGTTATGTTTTAAGATGCGCATGCGGTATACCTACTAACATGCGACTACAATATTAGAGTCCGAACAAGAGAACATCGGGACCTAAGTATAAAAGCCAGGTAATTACAGCACTAGCCAACTCGTCTGCAGCGTCATTATTCATCGTTTTACGACTCCATAAGGTATAAATATTAAAGTTGAGTCGTATAGATGAATTGCGAACATTTTCTTTTTAATGGTGAAGTTAAATACAGTGTACGACTATAGATCCTAGTTACGTATCTAGACTCGCATAAAACGAACCGCCCGCTACAAAATATGCATTCATAAAATACGAACTCGTGGATCGTATGTTTTTTAATTACGCGCAATAACTTCGCTTTCTATCAATAGCGATATGGCAACTCGAATCTTAAATAAGCCCTGAACTGCGTCCGAGCGACGGATAGGTGGAATGTCGTTTAATCATACTCTAGTGCCGTCGTTTTACTGATCCCTATAAAATATCAAAGATAAAACGAATAGCCCCAAAGCTTCGAAAGGATCGGAACCAGTGATTGGGATTTTATGGCGCAGCAAACGCAATGTTGAGACGCAATTGTCCCATTTAAGAGGCAGCGTATACACTGTTCGATATGCGCGAGGTGCTAATTGTCGAATGCAAGAACGATTCTAAATTTGAAACCGTTGAAACAATATAGTCCGTGTTGTCTTTTCCAATTTCGAAGTTTGCAGAACGGCCGCGTAACGAAGGCCGAGGTGGCTGTGCAAATGGAACGATGCCGAAAACTCAAGTAAGTATTTTTAATGGTCTTGCGTCATCGACTTCAAACTTGAAATTTTATTATCACTTGGCTTGTATACAGCCAGCCTTGATATATTAATCAAACAATAGACTAAAATCAAATAACGCAACACATGATCAATAAGGTTTGTGTCGTCAAATAAAAATTATTTTCTACTATTGACACAATAATTTGATTGCCTCGAGAGGTCGTAAATACTATTTTCTAGAGGTTTTATAGTGAGATGTGACAATAAAGTGATTGCTACCTACATACCAGGTGCGGAGTAGGGGTAGGTATAAAGTATATTTATCAATAGAGATTTTTTTTTAATTTGGTACGTTTTCAAAACGTCTTATTCTTAACAAAATGTTTTTAGGTTAATAGATCTCTACTTCAAAAAAAGGAGAGTGCGTTTAATTCTTTTGTACTGCGTTATAGGGTGTGTGAAATTATGGACTTTCCTAGCATCGTACAGTCAATTACTAACAAAAAAATTATAGAGTGTAAATATTCAAATTCGGTAGCCGATAACGGCAATCAAACTTTTTTGAGGGCTACATTTCAATTAAATTTTATTCCTGCATACCGCGCTCGTCATAAAACTTTAGAGTTTGACGAGTAAAGCCCATTGAGGAACTCCGAATTGATATTAATTCAAATAACTCGGGTTAAAAAGTCAGGATTTTATGTGAGCTGTAAAAGTTTATTGTGGGGCTTTGTGGTAAAACGGACGCGCCGATAGGCCTTCGACGCGATGACGGAAGGCAGCCGGCGCGGGCGCTGATTGTACCAACCTTTGTACAATACCATACTGCACACTGCACCCGACTCTACTTTGTCTTATCTACCACGTAACTCTATGGCTGCAATAAAACCAGTTGGGACGTGATTTTACCCAGTGTCCGAGGAAAGAAGGAATTGCGTTTGGTAAAATAAAAACACTCAATAATTTAGACGCTGAAGCTGTATTTATTTGAAATAACTCTAACGTTATTCTAAGTTAAATGAAACGAGGTGTATCTGGTATTTTACCTTGTATAAGGCATTTTATTATTCAGTTAAATAATAATTAAAACCGCACAATTGATTTACTAGTTAACGGCTGGCATAAAATAGAATTTAAATGATTTTCAATGAAGATAAACTGCAGTATTATTTTCAGATTGTGTTGAACAGGACAACTACAAACATCGACAATTATAAAACTTTAATCTATTATTCAACTTACAAAGACTGAAAAGAATAATTAAATTATTAGGTACGGCTAAGTAGAAATTAACAGATTTGATATAGCTAGAGAACTCGTAAATAAAGAATAGCTCAAAACTAAAGTGTATATCGGCCTTAAATTAAAATTATAAACTTGTTAAAGATACTTAAAAAATTATGCAGTACCTACAGGCAATTCTTGTATCCAATCCGGCCGAAACTATTAGGTTTTCCCGGGAATCGAAGTCACGAGCTTGCGCTCTATCCATAACGGCAACGCGTAACCAATAAGCCACCGAGGCGAATAAAAATATGGCTTATAATAATAAACAGACTGATGAATAGAATCAATTACGATATTTATACTCCTAGCTTGAATATCTATTATAGGTAAATAATTTATGTCTATTAAATTAAATAACTAGTCTCGCCTTGTAACTATTGTTATTTTTACGACAGCCACTTTTGTTTTAACTCATTTTCGTTTCTCTATGTTTTATTTTATGCATACTATTTCATATTTACATAGAAGCTTTAATATTGTTGCGTATAAACTCGCAATTTTTGTGTAAATATTTTTGATTACTTCAGAAATATTAAAATTACATATATAAATGTACTAAAAGCCTGCCCTGTTGCAACGCTTCCCAACCAGCAAAGTTTTAGTTGCTAATATACCTACATAATGTTTTAATTCAGGCGATAAAAAGTGTGTTTGTCTTAATTTTCCAGTTGTTGTTCGAAATAGATAATTCTAATATCATAATATAAGATATACACTAAGTATTGTTCAATGTTTCTCAGTCTCTAATAAATTTTATATCATCATAAAATTTTACAACATTGTCACTAACAATTGTTTAATTAAATGTTAATATTAAAGTTGGAATTTTTATGTTATAATTTTGACGTCAATGCAGGTAGGATTAAATAAAAATAATCTATTATAAGCACTTAAATGATTCTGATGACACTAAATAAACTATCTAATACATATTAAGTTTTAAACCGTTAAAATATTTTGTTTAATATATCAGTATGTAATAAAACTATATGTAGCCGATGGCAAATCGTTTTCATTCTTGCTTTTCGTTTGTAACATATTTGCTTCAAATCAACTTAAGTAAGTAGGTATAGAAATCGCTAACAGAAAAGTTTTCGAAGATGTGCACTACCAATTACATAAATGAAATTTCCGTTAATGACGTGTTAACCTAATATCTTAAGTTGACCTTATATCTTCCTTCCAAAAGAACAGCTGTGATTGTGAGATAAATTTGTGTTGGAATGTTTATGTGAAAATTTATATGAATATGCGAAATACTTAGCTATTTAGTATTTATACACAACGTTTGTGGTTTACATTTTTAGGTCTGTTTCTCGAGCATATTCTGATAAGCCCAGCGCTTTTACTTTTAGTTTCTATTCATTCTTTAAATAATAACTAAAGTTTATCAAACTTAAACCATAATTATGTAACTATGATATAAGTTAAAGTAGTTAATCGACAATCTCATACGTATTGATTTTTTAAACTGACACCTAATTTTTATAGTCTGATTTTCTAATGTAGGAATTACAGAATGCGAATCCCATAGTGTCATAGTTGCTAGATAAGTAGGTATATCACTACATCTTAGCTGCGCACGCGCCGCGGTCTATAAACTCAACATTACATAGTAATAAGGCTAAAACCTATTATTATATTTTTCAACGTTAAATTATCGTCACGGATGACAACCTTAATTCTCTAAAAAGGGATAGTGAAACCCAGACATCCCGCGGATAGAAAAGTTTGAAATTCAGGGAAAGAAATGATGTGTTTTTTTCTGAAGACGTAATTATTTACATTTTTAATTATTCTAATAAGTAACATTACCGAATCGTGTAGGTATAGTCCTGTAAACTCCTTGTTGACGTTCTAAATTTAAAATTAATAGAAGGAATAAAAAAAATTACTCACCTTTTTTACAGTAATTCCTTCCGCTCATAAATGAAAACAAATTGTCAACGTAATGTTCATTTCACTTCACTTCACAACGGCAGTCCAAGGTCTTTTCAGTTAAAAAAGTTTCAATAGATTTTAGGCTTATGTCACAGAGCACAAATCATTGCTGACGTGCCAACTGCATGACCAACGACCACAAACTCGACCACACTACTCTTCATTAGCATGTTTACAAAATAACATACCCACTGCCTCTCGCTCTTTAACTACAAACAAGAAACAACTACACGACTCCAATATAAGATAGAGTTTCAAATGACGGAAAGCAATTCGTGTCTAAGTGCGTAATTGCAAAGCTTATGGCATTGTAATAAAGGTTATTTTCGTGTTCGATATCATACGGAAAATACTGATAGACGTATATCTTGACCACGCCCCCCGTATATTGACAAACAAAGTGATTGGTGGGTCAGACCGCTACCGCTACAATCGTGCGCATCGTCTACGGTTAGTCAGCTAAACATTTTTTATATAACTATGAATAACTTATGAATAAATATATAGGAAACGGTTTTGTTTTATAATATTCAACTTGCATATAAAGTAAATACCAAGAAGATTTTTGATAATTTATGTAAATAATAAATTAAGTCATCAAAAGTTTAAAATACTTTAAAAATAATGAAAAGTGTTATAAGGGCTAATTTTATTAGATAGATTTCTTAAACATAAAAATTATTTATTATACAAGGCAATACAAATTAGTTTTACTGTTTGTGGTTGGTTAAAAATTAAAAATTTTTTTTTCGCTTTGGTTGTTAGTTTTTTTACAAGGCAATACGAAATTGTTTTATGATTGTGGTTGGTTAAAAATTATAATAATACTTCACGCCTTTATCTACACCAATATTTTTCTTAGGGATATTCCTAATTATTATTAGAATGAAGTTATGTTAACACATAATATATACTTACAACCCTACTATTTGAGATCAGGGTACTTTTCAGGGGTAAATAAGAAAAACCCTTGTACAGTTTAAAGTTTTTAATAGTCAAGTAAGACATAGCGCAAAACAATGTTATTATTACTCATAAATATGTATCCACTATTGTGTAAATTTACGATATACTATTTAAATCTGTCAAAAATTATTTATTAAAACCTTTCAAATGTATTGTACAATACTAAAGTTGTAATTGCCGACACCGGCCTTAAAAACAAGCGTGCAACATTAAGCTATAATTTTTTGCTAAACTTCTCCGTAATAGTAAATATATTTACCATTAGCATATACTATTTAACCGACTTCAAAATAACAAATACTTATTGATTAAAAAATTCCTATTTAACCAATTGTCATGTATTACTTTGTGTAAGTAAATGAATTTCATGCTTTTTAGAGGTTACTGTTCAGTTAATATATCCTTTCCATTTTTAAATATTTATTTCGTCTCATGTATGATATGTATCACTTCTTTTTGGCACTGCATTTTTCCATTAGCTCTGCCTTATCTCTAGTAACCCTTTACAAAATACCGAGTATTATGCTAATGAGTTATAAAGATACCCCTTATCGAAACTGATAATCTATTGCGTCTAGTCGGTATTGCAAACCTGAGAACCAAAAAACCAAGAAACCTAAAAATCAAAATGCACTCACCCTTCGTTATCTAAACAGGAATACGCTTCATTCAGTTTCACAATATGTAACCTACTTGTTGGTGAAGCTCTAAACAGTGTTCAATTATTACAACACTCACAATAACCTCATCAATGAAAGTTTTTTAAAGATAAGTACTTCGAACTCATTGTCCGTGATTCAGTAAGAGTAAAGAAGAAACTAAAATATATCGCGTTTTAAACCGTTAATTTTTTTTATTTAAATGTGTACTACCCGCGAAAACTACAGACAGTATTTAAAGAAAAATAAATTAAATAAATCTTATTCGCTTGTTGGTATTTCTACATTCTTCACATGAACGAAGCCTCGTGCGATTTTACTAGGTGTAGCATTTACTTCACCCACGTAAATACCTGTTTGGTCTAAGAAAATGTATAGTATTGAAAAAATTTCATGTCATATTGTAAAATATAGAAGTTTTATAAGCATTGTATAGACATTAAATTTTTCATACGCGAACAAGGAAAATGTGTATGGAAATAAAATGAATTCTTTCATTTAAATGAACGCGCGGTTGTACCATTGAACATAACAATAATTAATTATTATATTGCAGATACCTCACCTCATTATATCGTAGCAATAACGTTTACATATTTATATGGAGTTTTTATGATCTAAACACTGATTTTGTCTATTATAAAATAAATAAATTAATAGGAAAAAGTAACTAAACTATAACCAATAATGAAAATCGATATTCATTGATATTTAATATCGTCGGGTCGATTTTATTTATAAACACATTCTCGTATCTTTTCTGAACAAAGCAATACTCGTTTTACACCTAAGTTAATAGAGGAAGTGGGAGGCATGTCAATATGGCTTACTTGCCTATAGTTGTATTATTGTCCCATAGTTCACGCTATTTATTTTACATAACTACATTCATATGTTGCTATGTAATATTTTAAAAATATATTAATATTATAAAGCTGAAAAGTTTGTATGTTTGAACGCGCTAATCTTAGAATACTGGTTAGAATGGAAAAGTATTTTTCTGCTGGACAGAACCATGTATCGAGGAAGGCTATAAAACATCAGGCTGTGACTAATAGGAGCGAAGAAATATATGTAAATATGAAATAAACTGAGAAAGATTCTTCATCTTCGAGGGCCTCCATTGCGTGCGCTGATATTAAGCAAAAAAATGTACGAAACTAATTCGCGTAAGTCGGGGTTCAACGTTGCACAAATACATATAAAGTTTAATTAACTGCTTCCGATCCGCTGTCGGAACCTTCATGTCCTTGTTCTCCTTTATGTATCTTTTCGACCCTAAGTCCCCGGCCTATTTAAAACAAAACTTTCTTCCTTTAAGCTCACATAATTCGAATCTTCGCTCGATTCATAATCTTTTATTATTTATTCCTGCGCATAAACTTCCTTCTTTAACAACTCTTCACTATTAAAGCCATTAATCTCTGGAACTCTCTTCCCTTAGAAATCAGAAAAGCTCAATCTCTCCGTACTTTTAAAGTCTCAGTTACCAAATTTTATCTTTCCAGCTGTTAATTGCCTTTCTTTTTCATGATCCTTTCTAGCACCACCTACCTATAGTCCTTTTTTTTTTTTTTTTCCCTTCACTTAGGTTGCCTGGAAGAGATCGCTGCTTAGCGATAAGGCCGCCTTTTAGTTATAACCTAGTACATAAGAATTTATTGTTGTAAACCATTTCTGTGGGTTGTAACTAATAAAGTTAATAAATAAATAAATAAATAAAGTTTGTTTAATCTGGACCAGAGTTTAAAGAAAACAATAATTTTGCAGAAAAATGTTTAATAAAGTGTAGGATAATAAAAAAATATTACATTTTTATGAATAAAGTAAGCTAAACCGAAGTTATTTTGATGTCGAAGGCTTCATATTATATTCTAACAATGCTGCCTGACGAGTTAAATTTTTCTTCTTTTCACGTAACTTTTCCTCAGCGTAGCATACCAGTAATTTTTTATCGCTCGTTTTGTAGTAGAAACGCGTTCTTAATTAGAATCAATCTTTTCTAATATTTGTAACCCCTTTTCAATTAAATTGAGCCCTTCTGTTAAGTTTGCAACTGTCATTTGATTTACCGATTCAACTGTGTCTAGTTATATTCAGTTTACACTCCAAAGACAGTGTTTTATTTTCTTGTTAGGCTCAAATGACTCATTTTTCGTTCTTTTAGATGACATAATTAGAAATTATAAGTAAAACGCACTGTGCACTTAAAACAATTTCACGCGGGACACATTTAAACCTGTCGCAAATTGACTGAGTGGGCGGATCGAGAGAGTCGATGCGTGCGGCAATTAAAATAAAAAACCGCGTATCTTCGAGTTCGCGTAAAACGGGGTAGCGTAAGTCGGGGTATTACTGTAATAGTACACGTCTGTCTTTTAATATTGACTTGCAAGAACGGCGAGATGCGGACAACGCCGTGTGTATAACAGTTATAATTTACCTATCAATATGAGGTATGTAAAAATAAACTTTGATTATACCAAGCACGTGGTACAGCTAGAAATTGTTATTATAAAACAAAACTCGATAAATCCAATCGAAGTTAAATTTTTCTAGCTATTAACAAATCTTGTTACGGTCGGTTCTTTTAATTTTAATGTATAAACCCTACTTAAATGAAGTATGGATAGGTAAATCTATCTTGTAATAAAAGTTTCCGTAAGTAAATACGTACCTCCCGTGAAGACGCAGTCTCATCAGCATTCCTTCGCATTGAGCCCGCCTCACCCAGTTACGGTCTGCCGGCCGAAGGGTGCTAATTGGTAAAGGAAACCTCAAACAACGACCAAGCTCAGTGCTCTCCACAGAAACGTTTCATTTTTAAACACTCGACCGTTATGAACGATCGCAATGCGTTTACCTATACGAGTATATGCGCACGATTTGTTTACTGAAGCTAGTGGTTAGATACGCTATTGAAACTCGATTGGTTGCTACTAACACCACCGAGTTTAATATCCACCTATCCACATATCCACCATCCGCTGATAATCAACGGATCGTGGATTCGACCCCGACCGGATCCGATATGTTTCAATTTATAATTTTTCTAAAACATGTTGGACTTCGCCTGGAAAACTGGATAAATGGGTGGCGGGAATAACGAAATTCTGTCCGGGTAAAGAACCACCTTCCACAAATAAAAAGCCGTGTAGTGTCAGTTTCAATCTGAGGATTTCGAAATATCCAAGGCAAAATATCTCGGCAGCATATATTTTTTAGATGTTATAGGTATGGCTGGGGTTTTTCATCTACGATCAGGAGTTCACACACACATGCTTGTCTGTCTTAATTTATCATAAAAAAATAAAGAATAATTCTATCTGTCAAAGTAAAGACTAAAATGGGAAAAGCTTCT